CTTTGTTCCCATTACAGAGTAACTTTCAATTTATACCTGCTGGGGAATAAGGGCCTGATCAAAAGCCTATTGTAGCCAATGGGAGTGTTTCCATTGACTTCAATGGGCTTTGAATCAGGCCCTAAACTCAGTTAGGGTGAAAGTGTCTTGTACTAAAAGGGTTACATTTGCTGGGGAGTAAATAGGAGAAGAGAGGTTGTGCATGAGCTGAAGGAAGATAACATCAAGGAAAGTTTATGGTGACATACTTTGTCACTTAAGTGGTACTTTTCATCACACATTCATGGATAACTAAATTTGGCACTGGAGCTGCTGGCAATTAACAACTTGGTAGGAAAATCTTTAAAATAAACTTGATCTGAAATTTAAAACATTGTTAAAGTATCATATCCAGTAGGGCTGTCAAGTTTCTAATCCATGAAAACCAAACACCCCTGCTCCTCTCCTTCCTCTGAGGCCACGCCCCTGTCCTGCCTCTTCCTCTGAGCTCTGCCTTCTGCCCCACCTGTTTCTGCCCCTCAATCACTTGTTCTTCACCCCTGTCCCCGTTGCTCATTCCCCCTTGCCCTGGGACTCACCTGCTGCCTGCAGAGCTGGGCTTGGAGGAGCGAACACAGAGCCTGCCCGATTGGGGCATGGCAGGGGTCAGCCCCCAGATTGAGGAGCTGGGGTGGGGAAATCAGGGCACAGCAGGGTGGGGTCCATCCCTGGAGCGAGGGGCCCTGGAGGTCCCGGAGTGAGGTGCTGGAGAAACCAGGGGCAGATGTCTCTCACCTCACACAGCACCAGTATCTACCTTGGAGCTCGGTCCGGGAGCCAGCCAGTTCTGTCAGTCAGGCTGGGGGGCAGGAAGAGCAGCAGCTGCTAAGTAGAGCCACTCATCTAGGCTCCAGCAGCAGCCAGTGACCTCCAGCGGAGGCCAGTCACTGCAGGTAACTGGACTTTTAGCATCCAGACAGCTGTGCTGACCTGATGCTGCCAGCTTCCCCTTTCAACTGGACATTCTGGTAAAAAACCAGACACCTGGCAACCCTAATATCCACTAATTAAGAGAAAAGGTCACAGAAGTTTCAAATCCTAAATGGTTTTGAGTGTTAGGTCCCCCACCAAGAAAAGGAACTCTCCCCCCCGAAGTCACACATGTTAAATTGACTATAACTCACACGCAGCTTCGACAAAATTTAAGAAGATATCTTCTTCAGGCTGAGTTTCAGAAAGAAAGAAAAAAAATAATCAGGTCTAAAGGACATTTTTGTGTGGCCCCAGCTGATGGAGCCAGGTAACCCAGGAATTCTTCTTGCATAGGGGGAAATCCCTGAATGGCAGAGTCAGTGTAAGGCTCTGTGCCACTCCTACTTGCTGCCCTGTTTAGGGTACACAGAGGGCCTGGCTAGAGTGGCACTGCTTTCCGGCTCTTTCTGGCTGACCAAAAGGCCCCTTGGGGTCATGGTCACCAGGCACAAGTTTGACAGCCCTTGGCACAGTCTAAATGGAACTAGGACACACCCAAGAATTGTTTATGTCTAGGTCTAACTGAATAACAACGGATATTTGCCAAAGCATATCATCTTAGTATAAGACAGATTAACAGGATCTTTAAAACTCAGTAGCCAAATGTACAAAAGAAGGGTACAGAGAGGTAGTGGGGATGTCAGCAAGTAACTCAGGAGTTTGGTACGAAGGATGCTGCATCCCTCACCACAAAAAATTGCCAAAAGGGCCGAGTCTGAGTGCCTCTGAGCACTGGTAACTCTCATTGCCAACTATGGGACTAATCCATTGTAGTCAGTCTCAGCAAAGACTTCAGTGGATATGGAGAATGGAGTTATTTTCTCATTTCTTTAGGTCAGTGTTGAGACACATTGGCATGGAAGCAGCCAGTGCTACGCTCATGGTCTGTGGATAAATTGCAAACTTCATTTTCCAGCACCTTTAGCAAATATTAAATATGCTTAAAGTTATGACATTAAGGAAAAAAAGATTCATGGAAGAATTTGAGCAGATTGTGACCCAAGAACCTCTTAACCTGGCAAAGGGCTTACAAGAATATCCTGATTCTGGTTCACCAAAGACTACCATTTGAGGTCTCAAATGAAAGCTAGAGGACACATGTATGTATATACTGTATACTAAAAATATATTCTTAGACTCTGTATCAAGGTACTACTCACCAGCAAAGGTGAAAAACAGGTTATTGCAGATAAGAAATGTTTCTCGCTGTCTTGATGTAAATTAAGCATTGTAAGCCAACACAATGGATACCTATTTGCATACGAAGTCATATGTACACTAGGATGTGAAATCAACAGGAAAGGAGGGCAGAGGGAAAAAAAAGAGACACATGTACAGAGGGTTGTTATCCTGTCTCTGAGTAAAGGCAATGAATTTTGAGGGTATTTGTAAAATAGAAAGAAGACACCCGGGTATCCTTACAAAGAAAGTAAATGGACACGTTTGTATTAATGAAAACTAGGCCCATGGGCAGTGGGAGGACCCCTCCTTCAGGAAGGCTAGACCCTGGCCCCACCCCTTTCACATGAGGCCCCACCCCCATGGCCAGAGGGGCCCCCCCCCCGCAACTGGAGAAGCCCCCTGCGTTGGCCGGAACCCCAAGCCCCTTCCCTGAGCTGCACCAGTGGGCTGACCCGAGCCGCTCCAACAGCGCTGGTGGGCTGAACCACGGGCCGGCCAACCTGATCACACAGCCTCTGCTACTCGAGCCACCCCAGCTCCAGGCCAGCCTGAGCAGCCCGGATAGAGACTGAGAAATGTAGCACACTTCCCCCTCCCAAAATTCCCAGATGCTCAGCAGAAGAACGCTGAGCTTTTTATATGTGCCATGCAGGTTCCAGGGTGGCTGAGGAAGCAGTATCTACTACTCAGCTTCCCGGGTTCATCAGTAAACTCTCTGGAGTCCAGGGAGATTACTGATGAACCTAGAAAGCTGAATAGCAGATACTGCCTCCTCAGCTGCCCCGGAAACTGAATAATACTAAGTAAAAACATGCAACCAGGAATCCCGCAGCAGCGACTGCGCTAGGGAAGGCTGAGCCTTCGCTGGCCTATTGTACCCGCTGCTTGGGTCTCAGCCAGCCTTGGCTGAAAAAGTGTTAAAGAGAATTTTGGGTGAGAAACTTTAGATAGGAAGTTAACCTGTTATTTAAGCTTAGTCTCTTGTTACACTTGGTCTCATGTTATGGTTTTGTATGATATATAACCATTTGTATCCAATATCGTTACTCTCTATCACCTGAATCTCGAGTCTTTATAGTGAAAACAAGAATAAGTTTACTATCAAATATATATGTGGTGTTAAGCAAAGTACTGGTCCTGAGTTGAATATTAGAAGCTGGTGTTAGAATTACCAGGCCTGCTGTTCCCAAAGGAACACTATGGGTGTTCAGTGGATAAGGGGCTGGACACAGCAAGGAAGAGGGTGGGGGTTGATGTGTACCTGTTGCTACCTGTACAGAGAACACGAGGTCTGCAGACGCCTGGAAGGTAGTGGTTATGTTGCCAGAGACTGTTGGTTTTAGGGAGCTAAGCCACAGCAAGCAGAGACAAGATTCCTTGACGCTAAGGGCAGGAAGTGGTGAGGATCCTCACAACCGGGGCTGCCCCAGAGAGCATCACATATTTTATGGCTTTGCCATAATAACCAATCAGATGATGCAGTGACAACGATGGTCATTAACTGCTCCAACCTTTGGAACTCTAGCAATAGATTTGAAAGTGTGAGATTGCTACTCTGTAATTAAAGTCTTAGAAGCTACATTATATGAAATAGACACTGGGTTTAGAAGCGTCTTTGTTATTACATGCATTAGTTTATTAGGGAGTTAAAATAAGTGAAATTACTGCTGCTGGTCATGTTTTGTCAGGGCACTCCTATAAGTTAAGCATCAATTAAGGCTTTGGTTGAATAGTTTTAGTGTTACATATAGAAGTATCAGGTCTGTAACAGCACATGGCTGCCTACTTTAGAACAGAGTTCTACTCCCAGATTTACCAGTCATTCTTGTCACCAGCATTTTGGCCAAATGAATACAACAATGGATCTGAGGACACTGGAGGGCGTAGAGGTTTTTTGAGACTTTTTTTTTAGTAAAAAGAATGCATCAGGTATAGCAATATTTTTGAGATATTGAAAACAGGGTGATGAAGCAAGATCACTGAGGAGTAAAGGACCTGCAAATTTTTCCATTATGATATCACTGAAAACCATTTTGTAGAAGTCCCTCCTCACCAATTATGCTTTTAATGTGTTCAAAGTAAATGCAACTAATTGAAAGATTAACTCATTTCACCCTATTTGATGATATAAAGGGCTAACTTGTTAGTATCAATACAGTCTTGAAGTACCTTTTCCAATGCTGATACAGGATATGTGATGTCTCTGTTTAAAGGAAACTACTGTATCTTTAATTAGAACAATAAGACACAAAATTCAATGCACTGAGAATAAGGGCAGGAACACTATTTAATAAGACACTCAGTTTATTCTTTTCTTGTTAATATCAAAATGGCAATAGCCTAATTAAAATGACTTGCTAATCATTTTAATATCTTCTTTTATAAGATTTCATTGCTAATTATCAAAAAAGAAAAGGAGTGCTTGTGGCACCTTAGAGACTAACCAATTTATCTGAGCATAAGCTTTCGTAAGCTACACGAAAGCTTATGCTCAGATAAATTGGTTAGTCTCTAAGGTGCCACAAGCACTCCTTTTCTTTTTGTGAATACAGACTAACACAGCTGCTACTCTGAAACATTGCTAATTATAATACTTTCAAGAAGATGAAAGTTCCCTTTGTAAAAACAGTGTTTCTGCCGCTTTTCTCACTGAAATACAGATTTGTCCATTTATCCAACTCCTTTTCTATTGGAAAATAAAAAAAATGTTTGTGGAAATTTTCAGGGAGTTAAGCAAGGAAGAAGTAACATTACACAGTACATATATTCCATAATATTAAAACTGAGGTGTGGTGGGTTGGACTTACCTCTGAGCACCACCTTGGGTCCAGACATAGTACTCCCATTCTTCAGCTCCCAGTAGGCCATCAGCCTACTTCTGCAGGTCTTCTGTGGCTCAGCCCACTGGCCGGATCACACAGTCCAAAACCTTTCCAGGGTACAGTTCCTTGCCATTCTGGACCAACTATAAACAAAACAGTTTCTTACCCTTTGGAGCTAAATTTCCTCTCCTGAATTGGGTCAGCAGGATTCCCTCTGAATTCCTGCCACTGATTATAGCCTGGGACCAGACCAGGGCACTTTAGTAATAGTCTAGGGAACATCCTTCCTCACTTCTCTGGCTCAAGCCACAAACTGACTTGCTGATAATAGGCAGCTTCTTTTATTTCAGTCTGGTGGGCCTTGATTGGTTGCTGCTGGCTCCCAGTCCTTCTAGCTGCTGGAGGACCAAATCTCACTGGTTTCCAAAATGGCTACTCTTCTGGGCAAGCTGGGAGGTCGAATATTTGCTGTTCTTTTCCTCTCAAGACTGTTTCCTAGGGCAGGATGCAACAGAACAGCCAGTCAGCAGCTTCCAACAGAGGGCCGTGAAGGCCTGGAACATCCTGTCACAAGAGATTTTAAATCCAACAGGAATATCACTGTTACTTTATTTTGTGACTGAGTTGGGAATAGGAACATAAATATCACCATTATCTTATTTTGTGATTAATTTGGGAATAGGAACAGAAATGTTATTTTTAATTATACTGCATTGCAAATGTAAAGAATGCTTTTCAAACTACAGAATAAGGGCTTGTTTTCACTGAAAATTTAACTCAAGTCAATGTTGCCACTAACTTGAGTCCCATCCACCCACCCTTAACTTTAGTGTGATGGTGCTTTTAAATAGAGTAGGCTGGCCCATCAGGGGGTAGAGGCTAAAGCTTGAGTGACCATAACTAAGGCTACATTTTTGTCACAGGTATTTTTAGTAAAAGTCATGGACAGGTCATGGGCAGTAAACAAAAATTCATGGCCCGTGACCTGTTCATGACTTGTACTATATACCCCGACTAAAATCTTGGGGGAGGGTCATGAGGGGGCAGCCCAAGGGGGCAGCCCAAGGGGGCACTGTGGGTGCTGGGGGGGTGGCAACATGCGGTCTGGGACCCCCACCGGCAGAGTGGATAAAAATAAATGATTTTTTTAAAAAAGCAGATTTTTTTATTTAAATAGCATTTTTATAAAAAAAAAATCCGATCTAAAGATAGATTTACTTAAGATATTATAGCTCAGGGATATCTCATAATGGAATAGGGATTATAAATTCTAATTCTATCGTATGAGACAATATACTCATGTAATGTTTAAGAAAAGTTTTGTAAATGAGTTCCAATAGTTTATGGGTCCCAGGGGCCTTTGTACAGATTATTTAGGTTAATTTTTCTATCTACCCAATGGGACTCAGTGCTCAGTCTAGAAGATACCATCAGAGATGCTTAGTTTTGCTGTGGATTTGTGTCTCTAGAGATAAAAACATTTTTGCTGTTAACAAGCATGTTAAAATAAATAAATAAATATAGAGAGGTGAGAAATAAGACCTGAACCCTATTGTCCCTCTGCAAATTTGTGTACACAGAGTCAATCCCTTACCTCTCTCTAAAAGTGCAAAAGTTTCAAAAAGTTCAATGAATAGAAGATTGTTGGGGGTGGAATAGATCTGGACAAGGAGTAGAAGTCTAGAGATAAACGTGAGAAGGGAACAGGCAGTAGAAACAAAGTGAAACTGTTTATTCCAGAAGTCTTGAGGTTTGAGTGTAGCCTTTGTTGATTTGAGATCTACCATACCATTCTCTCACAAGAAGGGAAAACCTATAATGGCAGCAGGCTGTAAGAGAGACCCAGTTTGAGAATATTTTAATGAAGTTCCTCTACCTGTGGGTCAGACAGGCATGCGTGCGTGCAAAATGCCAACAGTGCAACAAAGAAATGCAAGGCCTGGTTGCCCAAATGAAACATCATCATGAGACGTGTTCCATCTCAGGAGGAAGCTGTGTTGAAGATGATGAAAGGAACATGTAGGATCTTCAGGTTGGTAAACTTTTTTATTTCAGGTTTCAGAGTAGCAGCCGTGTTAGTCTGTATCCGCAAAAAGAAAAGGAGGACTTGTAGCACCTTAGAGACTAACAAATTTATTTGAGCATAAGCTTTCGTGAGCTACAGCTCACTTCATCGGATGGCTTATGCTCAAATAAATTTGTTAGTCTCTAAGGTGTCACAAGTACTCCTTTTCTTTTTTATTTCATACTTCTTTCTTAAGGACTGCCTGTCTTCCTTCTGGACTATTCTTGAATTCTCATGTTTGAACAAAAAAATTTAGTTGTTACTCTATGGTACTATCATTTTAGATGCAGTTGTGATAAAAAAAATAAATAGCTGAAATAGGCAGATCTTCCTTTTACAATTTCACTTTTAAAGTGGTACTGAGTGTCAGTGAATCCAATGAGTAATACTAAATGAGCAGTATGGTAATAATAATGAAATAACGGCATTGACTTATTTTGTTTAGGATAAGCCATCCTCAACATACAGGATTCTGAAGACTACCCACCTTTAAGATCACCATCATTTTCTAGAGTTTCAGAGTTATCTGCCAATGGTAGTGTTTCAGTCACATTATGTATGTCATATAGCCACAGTATATCACTTGTGGCAAAAAGAAGAAGAAAAAAAATCTCCATCATGCAGAAACAACCATAGATAAAGTTTGTAATAAGAACCAGCAGATTACAAAAATAGGTAATTGATGAAAAAACTGCCCGGTTTGTTTATGCAACAAACTCTCCTTTCTGTATGATTGAGAACCCACACTTCATTAACATGGTTCAGTCATTAAGACCAAGATACAGTCCACCCAACAGAGCAGATGCTGCAGGCAAATTGCAGGATAAAGTGTATGAAAGAGAAATTGAGCAGCATGCAAAAGGTCTAGAGGGAAAATTGTTAACCCGAGTTGTGATGGGTGGAGCAGTGTCCACAATGATCCTGTTGTATGTGCTTGTGTGACAACAAAAGAGAATGTCTTCCTTACAGAAACAATTGATACATCAGGAAATGCACACACAGCAGAATACTTACAAGAAGTAGCAGTAAAAGCTATAACAAACTTTGAAAAAAATTCAGATGTCTAGTACGCAGCTTGGTCACAGACAACGCTGCAAATGTATCCAAGAAGAGAGTGAAAAGAGTCCCAAGCTAACAACATATAGTTGCAGTGCTCATTTGATGCACCTCCTAGCCAAAGACTTCAGTGTTCCAGAAATAAAGGCTAATGTAGTTGAAATTGCAAAATACTTCCGTAACAGCCACTTTGCAGCAGCTGCTCTGAAAAAAAGTGGGAGGAACCAAGCTAACTCTCCCACAAGATGTGCGACGGAACTCGGTAGTGGACTGTTTTGAGAATTATATCAAGAACTGGCCTAATCTGATGACAGTTAGTGGCATCTATTTTTTCACAATTTTGTTCACAGTCACAGCCAAAGTTGTCAACATTGGGCTTAAGAGAAATGTTGAACATATGCTGAGTACCCAGAAGCCTATTTCTGTAGCCTTGAACAAAATGCAAGGAAATAGTCGTTTTATTGTTGATGCTGTTGAAATTTGGAAGGAATTGAGTGAGATCTTAAGAAGAGAAATACGCAATGACAGGAGTTAAATTACAAGCATTAAAAAAACAAATGGGACAAGCACTATCTCCAGCTCATTTTCTTGCAAATATTCTCAATACTCAGTACCAGGGTCAAACCTTAACTGCAGAAGAAGAGAAGTTGACTACGATATGGACATCCAGCAATCCTCCCTCCATAATGCCAACTATAATAAGCTTCAGAGCTAAGGATGAACCATTCAAGAAATATAGGTTTGCTGATGATGTTTTAAAGAAAGTCACACCAGAGAACTGGTGGAAGTCATTTAAGCACTTGGATTCAGAGACTGTTGACATGATAATCTCACTTTTAACAGCAGTAGCTTTTTCTGACGGTGTAGAAAGAATATTTTCTTCCTTTGGACTAATTCATTCCAAACTGAGAAATCGTTTGGGACCTGAAAAAGCAGGAGAGCTTGTTTTTCTTTTCCAGATTATGAACAAACAGAAAAATGAGGGTGAAGATGACCGAGTTAAATTCAGAAGCCAATATTTTAAGTTTCTTACGTTGACCTGGCTGCCATAGTCGATTTAATTTTTTTTAAAAATATTTCATTTAACTATTTGAGTTTAAAAAACAAACAAAAACAAACCTGATTTTAAAAAAACTGAATGTTTAACTAAACTCAAAAAATCATATAATATTTTAACAAGCATATGAATATATAATGTTGTTGTTTTAGTTAAATAAAACAATTTAAATGTCTGTCTAGTGATGTTCTCCTCCTAATACAGCATGGTAAGAAAAACCTCCATATATTAATGATTAACCTGTTGAATTGGAGATAGTTCACCTCCCAATGACTTCATAAATATCTGCTTCATTTACCTTTGTAAGTGAAATAACCAATCATTCATTTTCTGAAATAGCTGAAAAACTAATCTGAAAAGTTTCCAAAGAAATCACTTAAAAAATGTATAGTGTGTATCTTCTAAAAATGAAACCTACATGTATCTCTCAGTTGTGAGAAATATGCATTAAGGTTGTAACAACCAACAAGAATGCACTTTTATGTAGAAATCCATGATTAAATAGAGTCTTCCTGACTCGTGATTTAAATCAGTTTGATTTAAATCAAATCCACTCTGCCGTTGGTGCTGGGGGGAGCGGGGGGGGAGGAGGGTTGGCAGGCTCCCTACCCAGCTCCATGGCTCCCCAGAAGTGGGGAAATCCCTCAGCTCCTAAGCGGAGACATGGCCAGGCAGTTCTGTGCGCTGCCTCTGCCCCAAGCACCAGCTCCGCAGCTCCCATTGGCCGGGAACCGCAGCCAATGGGAGCTGAGGGGGCAGTGGCTGCAGGCAGCAGCAGCACACAGAGCCCCCGCACCTCCGCCTAGGAGCCAAGGTATGTCACCGCTTCAAGGGAACCCCTCCTTCCCCCCCCCCCCGAGGTAAAGCACCGCCCAGAGCCCTTGTCCGCTCCCAGGCCCCAACCCCCAGCTCTGCGTCCCCCACCTAAACTCCTGCTGGGGGAGGAGGGCGCGGTGGCCCGAGACTGCCCCAGCAGGAGCCACTGTGGCTGGCCCAGGGACTGCCTGAGCTACTTAGGTGGCCCCCAGGCCAGCCACACCGGCCGCTGCAGAAGTCACAGAGGTCCCGGAAAGTCACAAAATCCATGACTTCCGTGACAAACTCGCAGCCTTAACCATAACTCATCAGGAGCTAATTTGACTACTCTGCAATATGGATGAAGGCTAGCTCCACTTGAATGCTGGTAGTCCTCTAATGCCTTCCCCCAATGTCCTCTGTGTACCCAGAAAGGGCAGACAAGTTTTCCCACAATTCACTGGGAAAGTATAGAATGTCTCATCTTACTGTAGTGCAAGGAACTGTAGGACATACACCCATAAGTCCTAGTGCCACACACTAGTGAGTGCAGCGCTAATGTAGATACAGTGGTTCAAGTTTCAGAGTAGCAGCTGTGTTAGTCTGTATCCACAAAAAGAAAAGGAGTACTTGTGGCACCTTAGAGGCTACCACATTTATTTGAGCATAAGCTTTTGTCAGCTACAGCTCACTTCATCGGATGCATGCAGTAGAAAATACAGTGGGGAGATTTTATGTACACAGAGAACATGCAACAATGGGTGTTACCATACACACTGTAACAGGAGTGATCAAGTAAGGCGAGCTATTACCAGTGGGGGGGGGGGGGGGAAACTGTTTGTAGTACAGCTCACTTCATCAGATGCATGCAAAAGGTTATTCTCTTCCCTCCCCCCCCCCCCACTTGCTGGTAATAGCTCACCTTACCTGATCACTCTCATTACAGTGTGTATGGTAACACTCATTGTTTCATGTTCTCTGTGTACATAAAATCTCCCCACTGTATTTTCTACTGCATGCATCCGATGAAGTGAGCTGTAGCTCACGAAAGCTTATGCTCAAATAAATTTGTTAGTCTCTAAGGTGCCACAAGTACTCCTTTTCTTTTTAGTGGTTCAAATGTTATTTTACAATGTGGCTGCTCAAACTTGCGCTAGGCTAACTTGAGAGGAGTAACTCCAGTGCAGATAACTCAGATTAACTCTGCAGTGAAGGCATACCCTATAACAGTGCTACTCAGACTGAGGCACCCAGCTGCAAGTGGTTCTTTAATATGTCTCCTGTAGCTCTTTGCTACACATAATATTAAAACACTGATTTAATTATTAACCAATCTAAGTTACTACCAATCAGGATGCTTTTACTATGTTATTAATAACACTTAGTCATTTTGCAGTGAGTTTTATATTATATATAAGCTAAATAGTTTCCCTGTCATACTATTTAAATATTAATATACAGTGCTATATTAAATAAAACAATGAATTCGCAGTACTGTGGTTCTTTTCGGTAATGTTGATCGCTAATTTGGCTCCTGAACCAGTGAGGTCTGAGTATTACTGGCCTACAACAACTGTTCCTGCCACCAAGAGTTCACAATCCAAGGCCCCAGTCCCATAATATGGCACAAGGAACACAACTGAAGGTAGTGGTGGGTCATCCCAGGTAAAGTACTAGGAATTATCAATTACAAAAGCTAAAAAGAGAAGATTTGATCAGGAGTAGAGAGATCAGTTTTGGATTCATAGGCATAATTGCTATGTTATGTAGTAGACTGATCTCAGGAGTGGGTGCCGTAAACTCCTGAATTCTAATCCCAGCTCTGCCACTGGCTTCTTGTATAGATTTGAACAAATCACATACAAATTTTCAAAAATGGCTACAAATTTTGTCTCTGTTTTTGTGTGCCCAATCTCAAACACGTAGGGACCACTTTTTAGACTTGTTGAGGACCCCAGGTCCCATTGATTTCAAATAAAATTTGATATTGCTAACCTCAAGAGATAAAAATTAATGAGCCAGACCCCCCCTGCAATCATGAGGTTTTTTTTAAAACAAAATCATGCTTTTAGTCTGTCTTTAGACTTTTCAACTCCGCTCTATTCCTCTGCCAATGCATGTGTAATAATTTCAGGTTGAAAACTCAACCTTTAATGCACACAGAAATGCACACCACTCCTTGACAGCCCAGATGGAGACTTCACTTACCCTCTCCTCACCCCTGAAGTAAGGGAGGCTACGCATTTCCTAGTACTGTCTTCTTGACCCCTCAGCAACATTGTTTTGCCTCCTGCTGCCCTGGCACTTCTTTATCTGGGACCCTGTGGCACCACTTTCCTGACTCCCCACTCCCCTGGGTCTTCTCCGCCTGGTGCCCAACAACTGCTTTTCTCCAACTCCTTCCTCTCCAGCCCTGGAGCCGTATCTGAAGGGAGGGCTTAGTGTCAGAGCTGTTGTCATGTCCAGAGCCTCTTACACAGAGCTCTGCCTTCCTGCCCAGCCCTGCAAATGGTGGGACCAGAGTTGCTTCTTGTATCATTGCAACAGCTCCTCCTGCAGGCGGCAAAATCCATGATGCACGATTAATTCGTGAGAGCCGGCAATACTGCGGGGGCTGCTTGGAGGACACTCCCCTCACCCACCAGTACCCCCGGGCTGCGGCCCAGCCATTCTACCCCCTCCATCTCCTACCCCATCACTATCCTTTGCAGCCGCCCACACCTACCTCCACAATCCCCCTGTTGCTCCCCGCTCACCTTTCCCAGTGTCTCTGTTGCGCCTCACAGTTCCGGGCATGGCCCGTCTAGCCCCCTGGACCATAGCGAGGCACCGCGGTGACTCCTGAGAGCATGGCCCCAGCTTCCCTGAAAACAGTGGGAGATGGCAGCCAACTTTATTACGGGCAGCCTCACTCCCGATGCGGATAGACTGCAGGGAAATGGCAGCCATCTTGCTTGCTTCAGCCCCGTTAGCAATAATAGGAGATGGTGGCCATTTTTAATAAGGGAAAAGTGGAGCTGTGGCAGCCTCTCACTCTGTTTTCATGGGATGGGACAGGTGAAAAAAATCAAAACACCACTACCCAACTTGCTAGATTAACGATCAGATTGTGAGAGTTGTCAGCACTGAGAACTGTGAGTACCTACTGTTGAGAGCTGACAAAGAGCTGCCGGAGGAAACCATTTGCAGTGCACAAGTTTTATTGATTTTACAACAACTCTGCTACATCTTTTTGAGTGCCATCTACTGGCACCTTATCTATTCTCTATTTACACACTTACAGAGCTCTTTAGTAACACTCCACACTTCCGAACAGCAGGCCCAATGTGCCTCAAACTGAGCAACTGAAAACTCTTCTATTCTACATAGGTTTTAATACCATGCTCATCACTCTGAGCACCTTCCAGTAGTGCATTAAGCCACCTGAATACACATCTATCACACATTGTTTATTCTCTCATCCTCTCCCCAAAGGGATAGGAATCTGTAGAGAAGTTTCTTGTTCCAGGAGTGTCTTGTCTTCTTAGATTATATATATACACAGAGAGAGAGAGAGAGAGAGAGAGACACACACACACATCTGTTGCTATGTGTTTATATGAGAGAAGGCAAGGTCAAAGAAAAGAACTTGCACTTGGAGTGAAAAGTGGTGAGGTTTGTGATGGTCCTTAGCTCCTGGGGAGTTCATGCCACAGTTTTGGACTGCCCCTGGAGAGAATTCTGTCTCCTGCACAGATGAGCTTTACTTTTATTGTAGAGAGGTCCACTGTGTCAGACAAGCATATCAACCACAGTCTTCATCCCAGAATTTTAGAGGATCTTTTAGATGTTGTGGACACAGGTCATGGAGTGCTTTGAAAATAAAGACTAAGACCTAGAACTTGATTCAAGGTAGATGAGCTTAGTGAATACTGTCCCGCCTCCCAATTCTCTTAAGTTCTCTGTCTCAGCTTCCCCATCTGTACAGTAGGGGTAATGATTCCCTCACCCTCATGGGGGATTAGAGACAAAGAGGGTGAGATGATATTATTCAGTGCAGCGGTTCTCAACTGTGGGTCCGCAGACCCCCGAGCCCTTTCAGCAGGTCCGCCAGGCCCTGCAGCTGAAACCAGGTGCCCCAAGCCCTGGCGCCCCCCCTGTGGGGCTGAAGCTGGGAGTGGCGCAGGGCTAAAGCCTGCCCTCCCCCCTGAAGCCGGGAGCAGTGCGGAGCTGAAGCCAGGAGCCCCAGAGCTCCCTGCGGGCAGAAGCCCTGAGCCCATGAGCAGAGTTGGGGGGGCACAAGGGTGTTGGCCCCCCCAAACTGCAGTCACTTACCCAGAGTGGGGCAATCCGGGGGCAACTCCACCACCCTCACCTCCATCTCTCCTCCAGAACCCCTCAGGCCCAGTCCTCTGGCCCGGTTGTAGGTGGGAAGCTAGAGCCAGACAGTGTGGGGCAGCTGCTCCTCTGGCTGATACTGCCATGGAGTGGGCAGCTGTGGCATTCCCACATCTGCTGCTGGTGCCCAGGGTTCCAGCTGTTCCTCAGCTCCCAGCCCTCTTTAACTGCTCACACAGCTGGTAAGAGCTTCCCTGACAGGGACCCGGTTCTTGGGCCAGCAGAGCCCTCTGGGAACAGCCACCGCAGGGGGAGTCCTCCTGGCACACAGCCGCTAGCTATCCTCCCTGCAACCGGAGCTACCCTCCTGCCCACACAGAGCACCTAGCTACCCCCTGCCTGCACCCTGAGCTACCTACCCTGCCGGTGCATTCCCTAGCTACCCTCTGCCTCCACCCTGAGCTACACCCGGCCCCTACACAGTCCCTAGCTGCCCCCTCGCTGCACCCTGAACTACTCCCCTGCCCGCACAAAGTCCCTAGCTTCCCCCTCCCTGCCGGCACACAGCCCCTAGCTATTTCCTACCTGCACCCTGAGCAGTTTTCAAATGTTTTGAGCTGAGTCCCCTCTTTGAGTTATATTTTTTGGTTACGGCCCCTGTCAGGGTTCCTTCCCTACTCTGAACTCTAGAGTACAGATGTGGGGACCCGCATGAAAGACCCCCTAAACTTATTTCTCCCAGCTTAGGTTAAAACTTCCCCAAGACACAAAGTCTTTGCCCTTGAATTAGGTAAAGGCTGCCATCACCAAGTGATTTAACAAACAATCAGGGAAAGGTTTCAGAGGAACAGCCGTGTTAGTCTGTATTCGCAAAAAGAAAAGGAGTACTTGTGGCACCTTAGAGACTAACCAATTTATTTGAGCATGAGCTTTCGTGAGCTACAGGGAAAGGACCACTTTGAGTTCCTATTTCCCCAAAATATCCCCCCAAGCCCTTATACCCCCTTTCCTGGGGAGGCTTGAGAATAAACAAGATGAGCACAGACCAGCCTTGGATTTTTAAGACCCAAAAAACCCAATCAGATTCTTAAAAAACAGAAGTTTATTAGAAGAACAAAAAAAGATAAGAGAGTAACTCTGTAAAATCAGAATGGAAGATAATCTTACAGGCAGTCAAATTCAAAACAGAGAATCCCTCTACGCAAAACCTGAAGTTACAAAAAGACACAAACACAGGAATACACATTTCCGCCAGCACAGTAAATTTCACAAGCCAAAACAAAGAAAACCTAATGCATTTTCTAGCTAGATTACTTACTAACTTTACAGGAGTTGGAGGGCTTGCATCCTTGATCTGTTCCCAGCAAAGGTATCACACAGACAGACAGACAAAAGGCTTTTCCCCCCCACCCTCCAGATTTGAAAGTAACTTGTCCCCTCATTGGTCATTTTGGGTCAGGTGCCAGCCAGGTTACCTGAGCTTCTTACCTCTTTACAGGTAAAAGGCCAGGAGGGATTTTATAGCACTGTATACAGAAAGGTGGTTACCCTTCCCTTTATATTTATGACAGCCCCCCACAACCCAGACAGGCTGGGTGGTCTGCTGAGGTGAGTCAGGGGGTGGTGCTCACTCCCTGGACCCTGCTGTATGGAGTTGGCCCAAGTCCCATCAGCCTTTCCGCCACCCCCAAAATAGAAGTCAAACTATGCCTATGCCCAAGGTCCCCTCCCGGCCCAGAGCCCCAACTCCCCACCCCTGCTGGGCCCTGGAGTTTTTATAGCATGTTAGGGGGAGGCCTCAGCAAGAAAAAGCTTGAGAGCCCTTGGTTTAGTGGACCAACTTCTGTTGGTGAGAGAGAGACAAGCTTCCAAGCCACACAGAACTTATGGAGGATGTAAGAATTAGCTTATTTAGCAGTTAGAAGGTGTTAGAAGCAGTAGGTAAGGGCTAAGGTCCAAATTGAGCCTCTAGATACAGGTGCAGAGAACTCCCATTGAACTAAATGCCTAGATAGCATGTGTATTCCATTTGGCAGCAGGGCAGGGGAGGTGAGTGCTGTGTAAGTGACAGATCACGGAGCAGGCTTGCCCTGTGCTCTCAGCAGCCCTACAATTGGTATCCAGCCTGTGAGCTCCCCAGGCGGGAGCTAGGGGCGTGGGCGGGCGGGCCGGGGAGGGGAGGGGGCGTGTGTGTGTGTGGAGAAGAGAGACACAGACACCCAATGCCCTAGCAGCCTGACAGATGTAGTGTGAAAAACTGCTATCTGACTTGCTATTTAGGGTGAACTGAGCATACTCAGTAACATCTGCCCTTCACCTTACCCTTACGTGGCATCAGATTCTGCGGACAGCTTTTTGGGTTAAAAAGGGGCAAAGGGGGCAAATTTGAGGGGGGTGGTGGCCAGGGACTGAGCAGGGGATGGAAATTGACTGGGTGCGGGGTTCAAGCAGCTGGAGGCAGGGTTAGCATAGGGGCTGAGGAGAGGCGAAATCAGGGAGCTGGAGTTAAACTCAGGGGTCAGAGGGCAAAACACTGCACAGGGTAACAGTTATACCCCTGTGGACTGAAACACCAGTGTTTGCAAAAATATGGTGGGGAAAAGTGGGGGCAGAGGGTTTTTTTATTTCATATATCCTCTCAGAAACAAAGTATCGCTCATCAGTTTATATGGCTGCATAAAGTCTCATAGCAGTTTACAAATTTGTCTTATCTGCTGCTGGGATTCCCTGAATTGCGGCTTCCTTCCTTGTAATCTATTTTAAATATACTTTTGCTCCTTTTAATTGATTACTTTTTAAAATGTTATTTTCATTACTCTTAGCACGTCATCATTTACCTTTGTTATCATTGTGCAGATGCATGTCATTGTACTATTTAGTTTATATTTTAATAACAAATACTCATCGAAAATATGTGTAAGCTGCATAATACATGTTTAAATGACCTCACTCTATTAAGAGGTAATTGATACATATATACAGGAGAGAGGGTTGTTTGGAAGCTGGAGACTTTATGATTCCATCCCACACCACTGTCAAGTTTTTTTCTTTAGACTCTCTTGGCTGCATATAAAAGAAAGTTAGTGTAGCCAAGGTGGGCAAAGTAGGCAGATGTACCCCCATCGCTCACAGTCTATCCCTGGACGAGAGAGGTGAGAGGGTAGCAAATTAGGACAAACCAGCAAATAAGAACACCACTGTATCAGTAACTGCTACCGGTAGCAAATCACACCCGAAGCAGCGCGTTGCATTACCGGTTGTGGAGACCGGGCGGAGGCCTAGGCACGGACCAGCACTGCAGGCAGAAGGTGATTGACAGGAGGGGCGGTGCACCAGGCAGCATGGCGACCGCTATGGCACTGAGCTGCGGGATGCGCTACGGGCCCTATTCCCGGCAGCTGCTGGGGCCGAGCGCCCGCGGGCGGCTCGTGCGGCCGGCGGTCTGGGGAGGGAGCGCGGCGCCGGCCTCCAGCCGGCCCGGCCCTGGGGGAGAGGTGCAGTACTGCGCCGAGCTGCTGCGGTGAGTCTGGTGCGGGACGGGCGCAGGGATGTAGCCGCCGCCCCAGCCCCTTGCGGGAGGGAGGCCTGTAACGCCCGCCCCGAGCCCCGTGGGGGCGGGGTGGGGGCGCTGTATCCCCCGTCCCCCCAGCGAGCCCCAGCCCCGTGCGGGAGGGGGCTGTAACATACTAAAAAAACAATAAAAGGCATGGCCCTAATTTATTTAGTAGTTGTTGTTGTAAGTCGCCTTTAAAATTAATCCTCATTTTGGGGGAGGTGAAGTAACACAAGCAATGTAAGTCTTAAAATTTATCCCCCTGCGGGGAGCCTTACCCTCGTGGATGAGGAGAGTGGAGATAGAATTGGATTTAAAGTACTAAGAGCTTTAAAACGAAGACTAATCAGTTTAATTGAAATTCATTAAAAATGTTCATGCCTATAGTGAGATGTTTAAAGGGACAGACCATCAGCACTCCTGTCTGAACATTCTTTGCTTCCTTGTTGTTACAAGCTACATTTAAGCTTACTATAGCTGAAATTTATTACAGGGAGGAAAAGGTTTTTCTCTAAAGGTGGGTAGGACAGGGGACTTTGTATAGTTAGTTTCATTGTTCCCCCCCCACCCCACCCCCGTACTTGGTCAGTTTCCTCTGTTGTTTGAGTGGGGTTTTTCACCTACCAACAGGGAAGAGAATAACTTCCAAAATAGGGAAATGTCATTGTACAACTACAGATATTGGCAGGGGCAGGTGTAGTACTGGATACTTCTGTAACTCATCTTTAAAGAATGACTAGATTTCAAATTGATAGTATTCCTCAGTTAAGACAGTTTCAAAGGAACATTTGATGGGTCTGTAATTAGCTATGAAAGTGCCCTTTAAGGATCTTATCCTAAGCCTACTAAAATTGATAAGTGTCTTTCCATTGACTTCAGTGGGCTTTGGATCAGGCTCCAGAACAGGTTTAGAAAGTAGCTGCCCAAGGTCACCCAAAGTACTTTCAGGGATTTGTTCTGAAAATTCACAGTAGATTTCCAGTTACTGTTTTTATGTCCACAAAGTGCTTGTCTGCAAATCTAGTTTTCTTTTTGCCTTGACACTAATAATTAAATAGTTAAAACTTGCCCACTTATTTTTACCTCATCTATGAAACAAATGTAACTAAAATGGGGTGGGACGGAATCAACAGTTCTCATGAAAATGAGTAAATGTGTGCCCAGATGTCTGCCTCTTGAAGTTAGGGGCTGAAACTTGAATGCAAAGCTTCACCCTATGAATGCAAGGGATGAAAATACAGGCACCTTAACTATATAGACAGTTTTGAATTCCGCTTGTAATAAGAATAGTTGAGTAGAACTCTGCATTTTATGGTATGGTTTTGTGTGCTGCAGTTGTTTTTAATTTAATGGCACTCCCAAGTGGCCAAAGGAGTGTACATCAGTTTAGATACCTATAGTCAGTATGCCACAGTTGTAAACTTTATGCTGTGATTGGAATTGCAAATAAACAAAAGGACATATCTACACTTCGAGCTGGGAGTTTGATTCCCAGTTCGAAGAGACATACTTGCATTAGTGCTCAGTGAACCTACATGCTAAAAATAGAGTGTACACATGGAAGCACAAGTGGCGGGAGAAGCTAGGTGCCCCGAGTACATGCCCATCCAAGACCCTAGGTATTTACTTGGGGTGGCTAGCCCCTCCACTGGCTCTCATTACTGCAGCTATATTATATGTTTAGCTGTTAGTTTCATCAGAGCTAATGTGGGTATGTCTTCTCAAGCTGGGAATCACACCTCCAGTTCTAGGAATAGATATACCCAGAAACTCCACTGGTCAAACAAACTGTCCTCTGCCAAGCTCCAAAGAGTCCAGTCTCTGTAAGTGTGGTTTCATTAGAACACAAGATTGGAAGTCAGGAGATCTGGACTGTAATTGCAGTTTTGCCACAGACTTGCTTTGTGACTTTGGGCAAATCTCTTAAAGCCTGATTCTCAAAGGTGTAGCTGCTCCTGCTGGTGCACAGGGTGTTCAGATTACTTCCCAGGGGGAATGAATGAAATCTGTTCTTTTAACTGTTTAAAATAAAAGCATCTATTTTTGTTTTGGTCACAGTTACTAGTTGAGCTCGCAATTCACTCCTATTAGAAGTAAGTTCAGTGCTGACTAGTAGAATGGTTAATTTACATATAGTTATAAATAAAATTTATAATCTTTTTGTTTGTCATATATAGGAAACGTGACTATGAAGGGTTTCTGTGTTCTCTATTGTTGCCTGCAGAATCCCGCACCTCTGCTTTTGCACTGAGAGCCTTCAATGTTGAACTGGCCCAGGCAGGTATTAAAATAGATTTGTGAAGTACTGAACTATAACTATCATTTCAAGACTCTAGGTTGAACTGTAAAGAAGTGTTGTATGCTGAGATTAAAGTTTTTGTTTCAAAGGGTGATAAACAGATGGTCCACCACAAAACCCCAGATCTAAACACCTGTAGAAACTGAGGGGGCTTGGAATCTAAACTTGGATCTGAACTGTGCAGCTGACTCCTATCTGAAAAGGATCAAACCAAAAACCTTGGGGGAGATTCATTTCTAGGTCTATGCTGGCAGAGACTTGGCAGACTTTCAGGAGGGAAGGTTGCAGATTTAAAAAAGTGGTTACATCTTCCCTCTGCTAGATAGCTGTAGTAGGCTATACCTCTCTAATGGCCCCTTGAGCAGAGGGTGGACAGTACTCCTGTCTCTGGTGCACAGCCCTCCAGCTCTGCTGTTCAGAGCATCTGCCCCCTGGTTGGAGAGTTAAAGTAGTCCAAACAAAAAGTCAGTATGCTACCACAGCCCTCAAAAAAGCAGAGCCCTAGGCATTCAGGAAGCCAATGAGAAAAATAAAAGAGAAAAGTACCTGCCCTTCTCTTTCCTGAGAGGGCTTGGGCAGCCAAGGCTTTCAAGCCATTTCCTGGTCAGCAACCCCTATTGCAAGGTGCCAGAGAGCTCCTTCGGGGTACTACCTTACACTGAGCAAATATCATCCTCCCTTTTAAGGATCTGCTTATCTGCAGGCGTGACAAGCCTCACAGATGTGCTGCTGTGTTAAGGCTGATTTTGCCCGGAGGAGCTCTTTAACTCCTTCCTGATTGGGGTGGAGATCTGCCACACCACAGTGACCCTCAAACTGCCAGTGCAACCACAGAAGTTGATGCTTGCAAGAAAGGCCTAGCTAGAACAGCCCAGAGGATGTGCTGATTAAACATAATCCTGTTCAGCCTCTGTTGTCAGGACTCTTGGATAATTTAAAGCTGCCCTCCCTAGCAGTGGGAACACTACCTGTGATTCCCTGGGGTGGTTTCCTCTGAGGTGAAACTGGTCCAGGAACTGAACTTTGTGTGTTTTGAAATCCAGATTCTGATCTGGATTTTGTGGTTCAGCCCAGTCTCATAATACATGTGCCTTCAGAAGAATATTTGAAATAGCTGCTTGTCTTTGGGTTTCATTAGTGCGATGCTGAATCTGTAAAAATATATTTTATCTCTGTGATTAAAAAGCACAAGAAAATCTCGAGCAGTAAAACAAATACTAATCACAAAAACAAGAATTATATTAGTATGCAATAGCTTGCTGAAGTTTAGTATTTTAATTGCCAAGTGATACATATAAAATATTATCTAGTAGCAGTATTTTAAAAATTGCTTACTAATCTAGTTGAACTGAAGGAGGTAGATGTGATTTTTGTGATAGGTAAAGCAAGTGACTAAGGTGAAATGTACAACAAAGCAATCTTTTATCATTTATAGGAAGATTTGGGCAAAGTGTTTGATCTTCACTGTGGAATATTAGACACATTTTTGTTTCTGTCAGAGGTGTTGGCTCTTCCTGTGAACAGCTTGTCTATAGTCATAAATAAAATAGCCATCGGCTTATTATTGGAAAATTTTACCACTGGAGAGAAGCTGATTTTTACACAGGCATGATCAATGAAAAACCGTAATTGTTGCATATCTAGGTGAACTGAAGGAGAGCAAGTTAAAACTTTAAGTTTACTGTTAGAAATGTTTTTATAAAATACCTGAATAACTTGGCAAAATGTTTAAAGAATAAAATTGTTCATTTAGTATGCTGTGTTCACGGGGTGACATCCTGCCCCAAATATTTCCCCCTCCCTGAGTTTTGCCATTGATTTCAGTGGGGCTAGGATTTCACCTAACATGCGTAAGTTCATTTGGGATATATATGGCCATATTTTTGAGAGAAGCTGAATGCCCACAGCTCCTGTTGTTTCACAGGTAAGCTGAAGGTGCTTAACACCTTTGAAAATCAAGCTGTTAATTATTAGGGACTTGTCCCTGTGAGATGCTGAGCCTGTAGGTTGCATTGGGGAGCTGAAAACTCAGCATCACTGGGAAGGCACTTAGTGCCCAAACCTGCAAGATGCTAAGGTATCCAAACTGCAAATAATTTAACATTCTGCTTTGTACATCATCACAAACAATTGAACACTGGAATCCAAGCTCTGCTGGCAGTTTTCTTGTCACTATCTGACTTGTTCTCTTGCAGCTGTAGAAATCCTGATAGTAGTAACAATTTGACTCACTCCTGCAAGCCCTCAGTGTCTTTCGTGCCTTCCTTTTGAAGTCATGTTTTTTTTAAAAAAAAAAAAAGCACATGTATAAAAATTGTATGTATTTTATTTTCTCCTTCTCCTTTTGTATGTTGCTCACTGTTTAGGATTGTAATCTCTTTGGGCAGTGACTGTGGCCTAAGAAATTAGAAGTTGTGACACTCAGCCTCACAACATCTAACTTTTAGGCACCTAGAAAATCCCTGTGATTCACAAAGCCTGACCCCTAGTTTACCCTACATAATTACTTTGGTGTAGCCACTTCACTCAGGGGTGTGAATAATCCACACCCCTGAGTAACGTAGTTATACCGATGTAAGTACCAGTGCAGACAGTGCTATGTTGGCGGGAGAGCTTCTCCCAATGACATAGCTACCACCTTTTGTGGTAGGAGAGATATAAAGCCAACGGGAGAGATCTCTCCCATTGTCTTAGAGCATCTTCACCAGAAGCTCTACAGTGGCACAGCTACTATGCGTAGCTACTGTAAATTTGTAGTGTTGACCTGCCCTGAGTTAAGTCCCTAAGCTCCTATACGATGAATGGGGAGAGACATCTTCAACTGTGATTAACAAAAGCCATCATGCTGGGCAGGGAGCTAGTCATCCAATGAGAGGGGTGTGTGCTACACTTTGTCCTTGTCTTGGAGAGAGGCACCTAAGTCTGGGCTGCAGGGAGGCGCCCATGTTGTCTTGGGATTCTCAGCTGTAAACACTCTATTTGCAGTAGGTGCCTACACTGTTAGCAAAAAGCCACAGAGGAGGAAGAGAACTTCTCTCAACTTTTAGCCCAGTGGTCAAGGTATTCACCTGGGATATTGGAGACCCCTGGTTCAAGTCCCTCCTCTACCTGAGGGGAAGAAAGGATTTGAACATTTATGTGACCCCTCTTAAGTGAGTGCTCTAACCATTGGGTTATGGGATATTCTGATGTGGGGCTCCTTCAGTCTTTCATGTTGAAGTTGTTGCACTCTGGCTAAATAAAGTCAATGGATTAGAGGGACTAGATCGTGGGTCTCCCACTTCCTAGGTGTGCCCCCTGAGTCCTCTAATGACCAAGCTGGTCTACATTACCACTGTAAGTCGATCTAAGTTACACTACTTCAGTTATGTAACTTAAGTCGACATAACTTTGGTCGACTTATAGCCGTGTCTGCCCTGAGCTATGTCGACAGGAGATGCTCTCCCATGGACATAGCTTCCACCTCTCAGGGAGGTGGAGTAGAGACTTGATAGGAGAGCACTCTGCCATCAATTTAGCATGTCTTCACCAGACCCGCTAAATCAACACCCACTGCATTGATCGCAGCAGTGCCAGTTTAGCCGGGCATGTAGACATGGTCTTCCTTGTGAAAGATGCATACTGATGGCATGTGATCAGAAAAATCATTCAGGAAAGATGATACTTAGTTATGCTCTTTAAGTGTCTTAAGCTAAATGCCTCCATTAGACTGTAAATTTCACTCTTAAATATATTCTTTCCAGATTAAAGACTCCATAACACAGAAGACCATAGGTTTGATGCGAATGGAGTTTTGGAGGAAAGCTGTGGAAGATATATACTGTGATAACCCACCACATCAGCCAGTTGCTATAGAACTGTGGAAGGTAAAATATCTTTCCTGTCTTAAAATTTATTTATAATTATTCTTTTACCTGTGGAAAATGTTTTGTTGTTTTGCATGTGCTATACTGCATACTAACTGTATTTTGTGTTATACAGATAATGTATGATATGTTGTATGTGTTATACTAAGACAGCCTGAAGCAAAAAAGGGAGAGATGGACAGTGATGATGCTGATATCTAGGGAGAAGTTACCAGAAAAATGTAGCAACTAGTCAGAACTATGTTAATCAGAGAATTTGCCTTCTAACCAGGTGAAGGGACAAAATCATTAGAGTGACCATTTTAAATCAGTACCAATTAAAGTGTTTAAGTAAACTTTCCTGAGCCTCTACTAGTCTTTTCCAAAGGTTTAAGAACTGAAAGAAGACAGAAATTAGTGTGATCAGAGACTAAAGCCAGAAAGCGGACCATACAAAGAAAGATACACTATAGGAGGCCCACACCTTCACAGTTAAAACTATAATGCACACTATTTCATATTCCATTGCACTCTGACTCCCCAGAAAACTGAATAGCTGACAGTTTTTCTTTTCTTTTTTTTTTTTTTTTAAACTTGCACAAAATCCAAGTCCTGATTTGGATGCTGAGTTACAGGGATTCTACGTACCTGCCAACTTTTGAAATATTTGCTTCAAGACACCTCTGTGTTGTTCTGGAGCTTCCATGAACTTACAAACTCAAGCACGCCTACAATTTAGCATCTCCACTGGCCATGGTTGGGGACAAAATGACCAGCTGACCAAACCTGTTCACTCTAGTTAGGACCCCCACTGCACCAGATGACTGATGATTGCCTGTACTTAAAATGGGAATAAATAGACCCCAATATGTTGCTTTACAGTTATGATTTCCAGCTGGGATAGGTCATTGCCTTAGGACCACAGACTGACATCTTAAACTCTCCATCTAAGGAGTCATGTGCCTCTGTCTGTGTTGAAAGTGCAGAAAAAATAGGGAAACCCCCTATAATGGTGGGTTACTATACTACAATTCCTGTATGATTAGAGAGTTCACTTGAGGGCATCATGGCTCTCCATCTACTGTCGTTTATCTGAGGTCAGGGATCACAGCCCTTTACTATTCCCTTTTTCTGATGTTGGCACTGTTGTGTTAACGGACGCACCGAGTGTGCTCTTCCTCCTTTAGGTCTGATGTCAAGCACAAGTCAGTACTTGTTTCTATCAACAATCCTGTTCAAATTATAATTGGATTTAAACAAGAAACTGTTGAAGAAAGAGAGAAAACACTGGTAATGCCAAGAAATAAACAGCATCTACTTGATTCTCATCTAGGAGATCCAACGCTATTCCTAGATATCTCCAATTCAGAATTATTTATTTCTTTAGCCACAACAAAGCTCTAATATAATTAAAAGAGAAGCTGGCAAGTATTCTGGACCTTAGTTATAGATTATTGGATTCAAAGCCCCAATAGAACAGACTTAGATGTCTTTGCTGCAAAGGGTAAAATTTGATATTGGTAACCTTATTTTTGCACCTTTTGCTTTTTATTCACTTTCTCTCTGCCCAAGTACATGCCAGACTGCCCACAAGCAAGCTGGTCTCTTTGTTCTCCCACAATGTCTGTGCTTCCAGGAATGGATTTGGTCCTTGGTTACTCTTTTTCCATTCCAAAGGTCCCCTCCTGTGTGGTTGTCTGGATCTAATAGATTCAGCATACACTGGCTTGTGGTATGTCTAAACATGTTCTTCCCAGCTTTCCTCAGTGGGGCCTGCTTGGATGAATAATAGTGGTTTCTTCCAAAGGATAATTGTAGTAAACATCATGTGGATGAGGATCTGTATCAAATGTCAGATTTTGAGATAGTTAGATCTGCTGGTCATATACCCTCTTTCCAGGGAGCAAACCAACCTTGTAGTGGAGGGAGGGGAATAGATCCATTCCTGCAACAAGGGTTGCTCTCACACCTGGTTTCTCTATCAGGCCCTTTAAACAGAATCAATTGCCAAATGAGAAATAGTTCAAAAAGCTTAAAAGCATTTCTTGGATGTTCAATCAGCTTTGATGGGCAAAGAGAACACTGAGGCAAACTAACAATCTCCTTGGATTACCTCATAATGGTGCACTCATATTGGTTCCTAGAGTTGTGATTTTATTTCCAGTGCCGCTGGACACACCCGGAATGATCCTGTATGATCATTTCAGTCTTTGCAGAGAGTAGCTGCCCCAAAAAGGACAGGTTGTTATTAAAATAAAAAACAAATCCTGTATAAAAAAAAACAAAACAAAAACAAAACAAAACAAAAACTTGAAAAAGCATTCCAAATTCATGGATAACCTGCAGACCTCTCTCGTAGCCCAATTCATAGAGCTTCTTTAGTTAATGTTTCTTCTATCAAAAACATTGCATACTATATTTTCATTACTAGGTTTGCATGGGGGACAATTGCAGTTTTACACATCAGTTATCAGTTTGGTGTATATTAAATACATATTCCCAAATATTTTATATGGAATATGGCCAACATTTTCAAATTTGGCTCCCAAAGTTTGGTGATCAAATTCATATGAAGGCACCTAAATAAAACTAGTCTGATTTTCAGAGGTGCTGAACACTTGCAGCTACCATTGATTTTTAAAAGCCTTAATATGGATTTAGGCACTGAATTTTAGACACTGTGACAGGGTCAGGCCAGATGGCTACAGGAGAGTGATTTTTTTTTCCCCCCTGAGTTAGAAAATGCTTTATTCTGACAGATGATTGAAGACAAATATCCACATCTGTAGTTGGAGACTTCAATTGGCAATATCACAGGGCCCGTTCCTTATACGAATTACATCACTGAATCACAACACTATTTTGTGTGCTCAGGAGAGTGATAGAAGGCAGATATATTAGCCCCAGGTTAAGTAGGTCACTTTCCCCTTTGGAAGGTAACAGGGAAGGTTCTAGAACAATCAGGATCTTTTTGGAAACAATTAAGGCAGACAGGCTGATTAGAACACCTGCAGCTAATCAAGAAGCTGCCAGAATCAATGAAGACAGGCAGGCTAATCAGGGCAACTGGGTTTTAAAAAGGAGCTCACTTCCGTTTGTGGCGTGTGTGCGAGGAGCTGGGAGCAAGAGGCGCAAGAAGCTGAGAGCGAGAGGGCGTACTACTGGAAGACTGAGAAGTACAAGCATTACCAGACATCAGGAGGAAGGTCCTGTGGTGAGAATAAAGAAGGTGTTGGTAGGAGGCCGTGAGGAAGTAGCTTAGGGAGTTGTAGCTGTCACGCAGCTGTTACAGGAGCCACTGTAGACAGCTGCAATCCACAGTGCCCTGGGCTGGAATCCAGAGTAGAGGGCGGGCCCGGGTTCCCTCCATCCCCCCCAACTCCCTACTTGATACCGGAGGAGTTGACCTGGACTGTGGGTTCCACCAGACGGGAAGGTCTCTGGCCTGTTCCCTGATCCACTAGGTGGATCAGCAGAGACTGCAGGGATTGTTCTTCTTCCTTTTCCTCATGCTGGCCAGTGATAAGGCTAACTGAGTGAACGGCAGATTTGAGCCATGAAAGTGGCCAAACTGAGGGCTGCTGTGAACCTCTGAGGCGAACAAATCTGCCAATAAGCGCAGGACCCACCAAGGCAGAGGAGGAACTTTGTCATAGTACCCATGCTTGAAAATGTTTTGTATTTTATCAAGAAACTCATCAGACTGTATATGAAATTACAACTTAAGTTTGGGCTACCTTTTCAAAAGTGACCTCTAACTCCATCTTGTACGCCAATTGAGACACTGTGAGCCTAATTCTAAACACATTTCTGTGGGAGTTGTCAGTGTTCAGAACTTCAATCAGGACCTGTATGTCTGAAGTTATGTACCCAAAATTACAAGTGATTATTGACAATTTGGCCCGTAGTATCTGTAACTTAACAAAACTTGTTACTTCTTTACCACTATGGCACTGTTGCAGCCAATGCACTTACAGACAGTTAGTGCTGACAAACTGGGAAACCAGTTGGGCATCTAAGGCCTAGTCTAAAGTCTACTGAAATCATTAGAAAGATGTACCTTTGCAACATTTTTTAAAAATATCTGCAAAAATAGTTATTTGGGGTTTAAATTAGATCTAAAGAGACAGATAATGATCTGTAGAAAGCCTTGATTCTGAGAACAGACTGCTCCAAAACTTCTATCATAAACAGTTAATCATGTCAGACTCATACACAACAGTACGTACTAGCTGCAAAATTGAAGGTGATTGAGGGAATTATTTTAAATAATAAGTTTGGAAAAACCAGTATAGAATGGAGGAGCTGTGAAAGGAGGGCAAGAGTTTGGCAGAGATGAGTGGCTGAACAGGAGATGGTAGAGGATTATCAGTTTTCTATAATAAATTGAATAATTATACTGTTTATACATTAAATAAATATATGAATATTCTGTATAAACAATATCTGTTGACGTAACATATATACTCATGCTAATTATTGTTCTCCTGAAAAACCATTAGGGAAGTCCTTTCATTGCTCGTCTTAGGAAACAAAATGCTGAATTTGGGAAGTGAACAATGTGATCTGCAAATATTTTGTTGGAAATTGTAATAGAATGACCCAGTAATAGAATGAATGTGTAGACTTAAATTACATTTTAAAGAAAATATATTTTTTTAAAATGTCTCCTTTGCTTACGTGTTGGCTTGAGCCACAAGATTCTGTTTTTTCTGTAGCAGTAGTAAAGAGAGATCAGTTGAAAAGTTTTACACTTAATTTTTTTATTACACACTTTATTTTTCCATTTTGATTTAACTTAGATGATACTGAGCAAGTCAAATCTTACTTTTAATAACAAAAAGATCATTAAAAAATTACAGCCTTTATCATACCTTGCTTTCAATAATTTTCCAAATTTTCCCTTTTTTCTAAACTGTAATATGGCTTTTCTTTGTTCATTTCCAGGCTGTCAAGAGACATAACTTGACTAAAAGGTGGCTTCTGAAGATTATTGATGAAAGAGTAAGTAATTTTTTAGTATGCATTTTAATTTTTCCTCTCATATTTGACTTTTTGAATCATGTGTACCTAACCAAAACTTAAAAGAGCTCAACTTTTCTATTTCTGTATAGTTTTCATGGTATCCTGTTCCTATCCACTCGCATCATCTTAGTCTCCTGACAGCATTCTGTGACCATGTTTGTTTGGCTTTTAGAAATTACTTTAAAATATTTCTGTATTGCCTCATATCAAGATGAGTTATGAGCTTAAAATCTCAAACAAATGTCATTTTATATTGCCTTCCCTACAAGATCTATATATATCACAGGTACTTATGTGGCCCTGATTACCTTCGTTGTTGAACACCTCACAGTCTCTAATGTATTTATCCTCGCAACACCTCTATGAGGTAGGGAAATGCTAATATCCCCATTGTACAGCTGGGGAACTGAGGCACAGAGAAGTTAAGGGACTTACTGAAGGTCACATGGGAAGCCTGTGGTGAAGCAGGCTATTGAATCTGGCTATTGAATCTGGGTCTCAAGTCCCCTGGATCATACTTCCTATCAGAGCACTTTATAAACATTAATTACTTTAACTTCACCACATCAGTGTGAGGTAGATGAGTATTAATATGCACATTCTGCACTGAAACTAAAGGACTTGGAAGTCCAGTGACTCGCCCAAGCACACACATGGAGTCTATGACAGAGACCATCCGGGTCTCTTCACTCTCAAGCCTGTATGTTTTATCCACAAGACCAGCCTTCCTGTCATAGTGAGTGAGTGTTCTATTTCTGATAGCATTTGCATGAGACAGCAAAGTACACTCAGTAGTTTAAAAGTGCTTTTAAAAAAGCACACACTTGAGGAACATATTCTGATATCTGTAATTTTCTTTCACTGAGATATAAGCCTCATTCACTGGTAATGGACTAGACTTGGCAGTTAATAGTGTAAACATACTGTACAGTACCATTCATCAGAACTAAGGGTGTGAGTCCACAGTAGCACGGCATGAAGACTCCAAGGCCAGGTTTGCACTACAAAGTTTTGTTTGGCATAGCTATGTTGGTCAGATGTGAAAAAACGCACACTTTCTAGCTGACATAATTATGCCAGCAAAAATCCCAGTATAGATGCACATATGCTGACAATGTGCTTCCAGCAGCATAGCTGATATTCAGTTTTGTCGTAGTCTTGTCAGTCTCAGGATATTAGAGCTTGTCTAAGCTTGAAAGCTTGGCTCTTTCAGCAACAGAAATTGGTCCAGTAAAAGATATTGTCTCACCCACCTTGTCTCTCTAGCGTAGCTAATCTCATTTGGGGTGATGGTACTGTTATTGCCAGCAAAAAACTCCTGTTGGTATACTGCTGTATCTATGGCAGGGGACTCTGTCAGTATAGCTATACTGGTAAAGCACTTGTAGTGTAAACAAGCACCAATTGATTTAATGTTAATGCAATATTGCAAGAGAGAATTTAAATATACAATGGTTCAGCAACCTTAGCTCGTTGCCCTTGCACATACATATTTTGTATTGCTGGAGATATTTTAAAATGTATTCCTTAATGTGTATATGGTTATATTCATATACACACGTGATTCCTCCCTATCCCCTAATGTAAGTTACTTTTGTCCACTATACCCTAATGAAGGATTATGTAGATCTGCTCATAATGATCAGTTTGTGCAAAAAAAACATGTTCATGTTGCAATACAGACTCATACATATTCATGTTCTGTGCTCAAACTATAGGAGAAAAATTTGGATGACAGAGCATATCGCAACATCCAGGAACTTGAAGCATATGCTGACAACACTCATAGCGCTCTCTTGTATCTCACCTTGGAAATGCTGGGTATGTGGTTTTCTTTATTTAGGGTTTTTATGGAGAATTTATCAGTAGTGCTATAACTGCTACTATATTTATTAATGGGGAGGATTTTCAAAAGTGCTGATGGTTGAGCTAATTCTGGACCCATTAAAGTCAGTAGTAAAGGTTCCATTGACTTTAATGGGAGAAGAATAGGTCAATTTTCAGCACTTAAATCTATAAAATTAGGGCTGTCGATTAATCGCCGTTAACTCACACAATTGCGATTAATTGTGCTGTTAATAGAATACCAATTGAAATTTATTAAATATGGTGGATGTTTTTCTATATTTTCATATATATTCTGTGTTGTAATTGAAATCAAAGTGTACATTATTTTTATTACAAATATTTGCACTATAAAAATGATAAAAGAAATAATATTTTTCCATTCACCTCATACAAGTACTGTTGTGCAATATCTCTTTCGCGAAAGTGCAATTTATAAATGTAGATTTTTGTTGCTGTTACATAACTGCACTCAAAAACAAACAATGTAAAACTTCAGAGCCTCCAAGTCTACTCAGTCCTACTTCTTGTTCAGCCAATCGCTAAGACAAACAAGTTTGTTTACATTTGCTGGAAATAATGCTGCCATCTTCTTCTTTACAATGTCACCAGAAAGTGAGAACAGGTGTTCGCATGGCACTTTCGTACACGGCATTGTATGGTATTTATGTGCCAGATATGCTAAACATTCGTATGTTCCTTCATGCTTCAGCCACCATTCCAGAGGACATGCTTCCATGCTGATGATGCCCATTAAAAATGTGTTAATTAAATTTGTCACTGAACTCCTGGGGGAGAATTTTCTGTCCCCTGCTCTGTTTTACCCGCATTCTGCCATATATTTCATGTTATAGCAATATCGGATGATGACCCAGCACGTCATTCGTTTTAAGAACACTTTAACTGCAGATTTGACAAAACACAAAGAGGGTACCAATGTGAGATTTCTAAAAATAGCTACAGCACTCGACCCAAGGTTTAAGAATCTGAAGTGCCTTCCAAAATCTGAGAGGGACAAGCTGTGGAGCATGCTTCCAGAAGTCTTAAAAGAGCAACACTTCAATGTGAAACTACAGAACCTGAACCACCAAAAAAAAAAATCAGCCTTCTGCTGGTGGCATCTGACTCAGATAATGAAAATGAGCATGCGTCTGTCCGCACTGCTTTGGATTGTTATCGAGTGGAATCAGTCATTAGTATGGAAGCATGTCCCCTGGAATGGTGGTTGAAGCATGAAGGGACATATGAATCTTTAGCGCATCTGGCACGTAAATACCTTGCAATGCCAGCTACAACCATGCCATACGAACACCTGTTCCCACTTTCAGGTGACATTGTAAACAGGAAGCAGGCAGCATTATCTCCTGAAAATGTAAACAAACTTGTTTGTCTGAGCCAGTGGCTGAACAAGAAGTAGGACTGAGTGGACTTGCAGGCTCTAAAATTTTACATTGTTTTGTTTTTGAATGCAGTTATTTTGTACAAAATTGTACATTTGTAAGTTCAACTTTCATGATAAAGAGATTGCACTACAGTAGTTGTATTCAGTGAATTGAAAAATACCATTTCTTTTGTATTTTTACAGTGCAAATACTTGTAATCAAAAATAAAAACAGTGAGCACTGTACACTGTATTCTGTGTTGTAAATGTAGAAAACCAAAAATATTTAAATAAATGGGATTCTATTGTTTAACAGTGCGATTAATTGCACGATTAATCATGATTGATTTTTTTTAATCGCTTGACAGCACTATATAAAATTAAACCTATCTGTCTTAAAAATATAATCGCATCCTAAGTGGGGTGGGGGGGGGGAACAATCAAACCCTAAAAAATAGGCTATCAGTCACTGACTAGTAGGGGTATTCATTTAGAAAGGGAAAAGGAGTGAAGAGTGTAGGGACAATGTCTAACTCTGTCTGCATATTGCCTAACACAATGGGCCCTTGTGTAAGAGAAAGCAGTAGGGTGAGAACTAACCACATGATTCTTGAGCCCTGGACTGTCAGACTGTGTACTTCTAATGTTGATAGTAATCATCTGCCTCCATGCTTTGGAGGAAAATCTTTGGTCTGACTTGCATCTTTTAATTTGATAGAACCAACTCTGGAGAATTTTGTACCTACCATGCCTGTCTCGGAGCTTACTTTTTCCCTCCCCAGCTCTGACGTTTTAGATGGACTTAAATAAATAAATAAAGCACAAAGAGATATGGCTAAGGTTTTAGCTATGGTACCACAGTCCAGGCCCAGATGTGTAGAGATGGCCATAATATAAATATTAAAGAATAATATTGAAAATGTGCTAAGAGAAGAAGCTGTGACTTCATAAAATACAGGCATACCTAAATTAGACAAGTTACATTCGTGAACTAGATATAATTTTGCAATGTGACATGGTAGCAAAGAACATCAATCTGATCAAGGGAATGTGGGAAAGCAAAATAAAAGGATATTTTGACTAGGCATCCAGTGAGGGGCTTGGGAATATAAATATACAAATATTTGAAGAGATTAAATGCCAAATTAAGTTTGCTAAGTGAGCTAAGGTCTTTCTCTTCCCTGAACAGTAAAGCATAAACGTTCTGAGAAATCACACTTCAACAAATGGCTGCTACAACCTAAATCTTCCTTGCTGCAGATTAAGCTCATTACTTGTCCTACCTTCAGTGGACATGGAGAACAATTGATCACTCTTCTCTTTCTAATAGCTTTTAACATATTTGAAACTGTTATCAGGACCCATCTCCCAGTCTTCTTTTCTCAAGACTAAACATACCCAGTTTTTTTAAATTTTTCCTCACAGGTCAGGTTTTCTAAACCTTGTATCATTTTTGTTGCTCCCCTCTGGAGTCTCTCCAGCTGAGGCCTCACCAGTGCAGAGTAGAGAAGAACAATTATTCCTGTATTTCAGGGGTTCTCAAACTTCATTGCACCGCGACCCCCTTCTGACAACAAAACTTACTACACCACCCTGGGGTGGGAGGGGAGGAGAGGGAACCGAAGCCTGAGCCTGCTGGAGCCTCACTGCCCCAGGCATGAGGGCCAAAGCCTAAGTCCCACAAACCTGGGTGCAGGGGCCCAAAGCCCAAACACAAGAGCTTCAGTCAGGCAGGGGGCCTGTAACCTGAGCCCCACCACCCAGGGCTGAAGCCTTCAGGCTTCAACCCCAGGTGGTAGGACTCGGGCTTCGGCTCTGAACCCGACCTCAGCAAGTCTAACGCCAACCCTGGTGACCGCATTAAAACGGGATCGTGACCCACAACCCACAGATTGAGAACTGCTTCTGTATCTCCTAATACTCCAGTTAATATACCCTAGAATGGTATTTGCTATTTTTGTAACTGCATTGCATTGATAGCTCATAATAAATTTGTGATCCACTGTAACCCTCAGATCCTTTTCAGCAGTACTGCTACCTAACCAGTTATTCCCCATTTTTTAGATGTGCATTTGATTTTTTCCTTCCTAAGTGTAGTATTTTGCACTTGTCTTTATTGATTGTCTTGTTGATTTCAGACCAATTCTCCAATTTATGGAGGTTACTTTGAATTCTAATCCTGTCATAGAATCATAGAATATCAGGGTTAGAAGTAGGGTGACCAGGTGAAACGAAGAAAATATCGGGACACATGGGGGAAGCACGGGGGGGGAGGCATCCGGAGTTGCCGAAGCTGCAATATCGGGACAAATGGCATCCCGACCATGCATCGGTCGAGACATGGGACAAAGACCTAAAAATCGGGACGTCTGGTCACCCTAGTTGGAAGGGACCTCAAGAAGTCATCTAGTCCAACCCCCTGTTCAAAGCAGGACTAATCCCCAACTAAATCATCCCAGCCAGGGCTTTGTCAATCCTGACCTTAAAAACCTCTAAGGAAGGAGATTCCACCACCTCCCTAGGTAACGCATTCCAGTGCTTCACCACCCTGCTAGTGAAAAAGTTTTTCCTAATATCCAACCTAAACCTCCCACACTGCAACTTGAGACCATTACTTCTTGTTCTGTCATCTGCTACCACTGAGAACAGTCTAGATCCATCCTCTTTGGAACCCCCTTTCAGGTAGTTGAAAGCAGCTATCAAATCCCCCCTCATTCTTCTCTTCTGCAGACTAAATCATCCCAGTTCCCTCAGCCTCTCCTCATAAGTCATGTGCTCCAGCCCCCTAATCATTTTTGTTGCCCTCCGCTGGACACTTTCCAATTTTTCCACATCCTTCTTGTAATGTGGGGCCCAAAACTGGACGCAGTACTCCAGATGAGGCCTCACCAATGTCAAATAGAGGAGAACGATCACATTCCTCAATATGCTGGCAATGCTCCTACTTACACATCCCAAAATTCCATTAGCCTTCTTGGCAACAAGGGCACACTGTAGACTCGTATCCAGCTTCTCGTCCACTGTAACCGCTAGGTCCTTTTCTGCAGAACCGCTCTCTAGCCACTTGGTCCCTAGTCTGTAGCAGTGCATGGGATTCTTCTGTCCTAAGTGCAGGCTCTGCACTTGTCCTTGTTGAACCTCATCAGATTTATTTTGGCCCAATCCTCTAATTTGTCTAGGTCCCTCTGTATCCTATCCTTACCCTACAACATATCTACCACTCCTCCCAGTTTAGTGTCATCTGCAAACTGGCTGAGGGTGCAATCCAGGCTATCCTCCAGATCATTAATGAAGATATTGAACAAAACAGGCCCCAGGAGCGACCCTTGGGGTACTCCGCTTGATACTAGATATGGAGCCATTGATCACTACCCGATGAGCTAGCCAGCTTTCTATCCACCTTCTAGTCCGTCCATCCAGCCCATGCTTCTTTAACTTGCTGGCAAGAATACTGAGGGAGACCATATCAAAAGCTTTGCTAAAGTCAAGGAATAACACGGTCACTGCCTTCCCCTCATCCACAGAGCCAGTTATCTCATCATAGAAGGCAATTAGGTTAGTCAGGCATGATTTGCCCTTGGTGAATCCATACTGACTATTCCTGATCACTTTCCTCTCCTCTAAGTGCTTCAGAATCGATTCCTTGAGGACCGGCTCCATGATTTTTCCAGGGACTGAGGTGAGGCTGACTGGATCCCGGATCCTCCTCCTTCCCTTTTTTAAAGATGGGCACTACACTAGTCTTTTTTCCAGTCATCCGGGATCTCCCCCGATAGCCATGGGTTTTCAAAGATAATGGCCAATGGCTCTGCAATCACATCCGCCAACTCCTTTAGCACCCTTGGATGCAGCGCATCCGGCCCCATGGACTTGTGCTCGTCCAGCTTTTCTAAATAGTCTTGAACCACTTCTTTCTCCACAGAGGGCTGGTCAGTTCCTCCCCACACTGTGCTGCCCAGTGCAGTAATCTGGGAGCTGACCTTGTTTGTGAAGACAGAGGCAAAAAAAGCATTGTGTACATTAGCTTTTTCCACATCCTCTGTCACTAGGTTGCCTCCCCCATTCAGAAAGGAGGCCACACTTTCCTTGATCACCTTCTTGTTGCTAACATACCTGAAGAAGCCCTTCTTGTTACTCTTAACATCCCTTGCTAGCTGCAACTCCAGGTGTGATTTGGCCTTCCTGATTTCACTCCTGCATGCCTGAGCAATATTTTTATACTCCTCCCTGGTCATTTGTCCAATCTTCCACTTCTTGTAAGCTTCTTTTTTGTGTTTAAGATCAGCAAGGATTTCACTGTTAAGCCAAGCTGGTCATCTACCATATTTACTATTCTTTCAACACATCAGGATGGCTTGTTCCTGCAACCTCAATAAGGATTCTTTAAAACACAGCCAGATATCGGGGTGATCGAAGTCCAGCATTAGAACCAGGGCCTGTGATCTAGTAGCTTCCGCTAGTTGCCAGAAGAAAGCCTCGTCCACCTCATCCCCCTGGTCTGGTGGTCTTTAGCAGACTCCCACCACAACATCACCCTTGTTTCTCACACTTCTAAACTTAATCCAGAGACTCTCAGGTTTTTCTGCAGTTTCATACTTGAGCTCTGAGCAGTCATACTGCTCCCTTACATACAGTGCAACTCCCCCACCTTTTCTGCCCTGCCTGTCCTTCCTGAACAGTTTATATCTATCCATGCCAGTACTCCAGTCCTGTGAGTTATCCCACCAAGTCTCTGTTATTCCAATCACATCATAATTCCTTGACTGTGCCAGGACTTCCAGTTCTCCCTGCGTGTTTCCCAGGCTTCTTGCATTTTGTGTATAGGCACTTAAGATAACTTACTGATCGTCCTGCTTTCTCAGTATGAGGCAGGAGTCCTCCCCTCTTGTGCTCTCCTGCTCATGCTTGCTCCTGGTATCCCACTTCCCCACTTACCTCAGGGCTTTGGTCTCCTTCCCCCGGTGAACGTAGTTTAAAGCCCTCCTCACTAAGTGAGCCAGCCTGCTTGTGGAGATGCTCTTCCCTCTCTTCGTGAGGTGGAGCCCATCTCTGCCTAGCAATCCTGTCCTCCAAAGTGTTTGCAGTCTCCCATTTTAGTGGCATCTGCACATGTTATAAGCATGCTCTCTACACCATTATCCAAGTCATTAATGAAAATATTGAATAGTACTGGACCCAGGACAGACTCCTGCAGGACTCCACTGGATACATCCTCCCAATTTGACAGCAAATTATTTATAACTACTCTTAGAACAGTTTTTCAACTAACTGTGCACCCACCTTATAGTAATTTCATCTAGACCACATTTCTCTTGTTTCTTACAAGAATGTCACATAAGACCATGTCAGTAGCCTTATTAAAAATCAAGATATATCCTGTCTACTGGTTATCCTCTTCCCCCTGCCCCGCAATCCATTAGGACAGTAACCCTATCAAAGAAGGACATTGATTTGGCATAATTTGTTGACTATTATCCTCTAGGTGCTTACAAATTGATTGTTTAATAATTTGTTCCAGTATCTTTCAAGGTATCCAAGTGAGGCTGACTAGTCTATAATTCCCCAGGTCCTCTTTGTTCCTATTTTTAAAGATATAGGTATTGTATTTGCTCTTCTCCCTCACTCTGGGAGCTTACCTGTCCTCCATGAGTTCCTAAAAATAATTGCTAATGGTTCTGAGATTGTTTTGGACAGTTTCCTTCATTACGCTCGGGTGAATTTCATCAGACCCTGCCAGCTTAACTACATCTAACTTATCTTTAACCCATTTTTTTCCCTATGCTAGCTTGTGTTCTATCCTCCTTGTTGTTAATGTTAATTGTGTTAAGCATCTGGTCAAAATTAATTTTTTTTTAGTGAATATTGAAACCAAATCGGCATTAAACACCTTAGCCTGCTTGATGTCATCCATTATTAGCTCTCCTTCCTGCTAGGTAGAGGACCTTCATTTTCCTCCGTCTTTCTTTTTCCTAATGTATTTATAGAAACTCTTTTTCTTGCCTTTTATGTTCCTTGCTAGGTGTAACTCATTTTGTGCCTTAGCTTTTCTGATTTTGCGCCTATGTTCTTGTGGTATTTTTTTTTTTATATACTCAACATTAGCAATCTATCCACATTTGTAGGCTTCCTCTTTGATTTTCAGTTATTAAAGAACTATATTGACTTCTTACTATTTTTTCATCTTTCCTTCACTCCTGGATAGTTTGCTGATGTGCCTTTAATATTATCTGTTTGAGAAACTGCTCACTGTCCTGAACTGCTTTTTTCCTTAGATTTTCTTCCCAGAGGATCTTACCTACTAGTATCCAAGTTTGTTAAAATCTGCATTTTTGAAGTCCGTTGTTGTTCTGCTGCTCTCACTCCTTCCTTTCCTCAAAATCATGAATGCTATCATTTCATGCTTTCTTTCATCCAAACTCCTCCCTTCCACCTGCAGATTTGCAACCAATTCCTCCCTGTTGCTCAGAATCAAAACTAAAATGGGTGCCCCCTAGGTTGTTACTTCCACTTCCTGAAACAAGAAGGTGCCCCCAACACATTCCAAGAATTTACTGAATGTTTTATGTTTTGCCATATTGATTTTCTAACAGATATCTGGGTAGTTCCCCATTTTGTGTTTTGGAAATTTGTTTGTTCTAGGGATGCCTCATCCTTCATCTCCCGCTTTGGAGGTCTGCCTTGACATCGCTTCCCTTTTCCCCCCCTCCATTTCAATTTCAGAATGTCAGAATGTTTTGTTTTAGTAGAAAATGTTGAAATCAAACAATTCAATATTTCTGAATCACATTTTTTAGAAATGTCTGTTCTGCTCCCGCCCCAATTTTTGTCCAGATTTGGGACAAATCAAAAGTTGAAATGTTAGAATTTCCTTTGGGACAGAAATTCTGAATTTCCTTTGGCTTTGCTTAGTATTTATTGCTGAAATTTTATTCCTGGTCTCTTGTTCACTAGGGGTAAGGGGTTGCACTGATGTAACTACACTGATGTACAAGGGTAAACTGTACCAGTGCAAGTCAGTTTTCACACTGGTGTAGTGTATTTGTAATAGGAGTTTGAACTGGTTTAGCTACATTGGTATAGCTACATGAGTGCAAAAAATGCATTGTAGACTAGTCCTAAGAGAAGTCTCATTCCAGAATGTAGTAATCAGTCAGCTAGTTTACTAGCTTTCACCTCTGAGATTAGGTCTCAAGGACAATCTGTAAACATATGCTGTTTGAGGCAAATATATTCTTAACAGCTGTAACACTCAGGCTATTCTGTTGTTGATTATGTGGTTTTTAACCTTTATTTCTGCAAATACAGGTGTGCGGGATATCCATGCAGACCATGCAGCCAGTCACATTGGGAAAGCACAAGGCATTGTCACCTGTTTAAGAGCAACTCCTTATCATAGTAAAAGACAAAAGGTCTTTCTTCCTATGGACATTTGTATGTTGGTAAGAAAGTATAGACTGGGAACAAACAATATAGTATCTCTAAGTGCATCTCTCAGCTTTAGATATATAGTCTTTTCTGTTAGTCCAGAAAGTAAATGTCAAAGAGCCTAGTTGCTATTAGTAGAAGGTTCACTTCCTGTGGCTTGCAGTACCCCCAGCATGCTCTTTCAGTGACAGGGCTTGTCTTGGTCTTGTTGCTTTGCTTCCTTTGGGAGGTATGATTAGAGTGATTTTTATTTATTTTAGTGCTAGCTCACTGCAATTTTTTTTATTAAATCCAGAAGCATTTTAGGATTTTTCTTCATGTGCAGAAATACACATGGAATGGAAATCAGTTCCTTCCTCCCAGCCCTAAATTTTCTAGTGTTGGTCCCTTTGTTTCAGAATGAGCTCCCTAGCCTTCTCTTTGTTGTGCTGTGGTCATACTCTTGCTTTTTCTGTGCAACTCAATAGTAACTACAAGTATTTGCTCACTCATTGCTGTAGCACGTAGGGTCTAGTTGTACAATTTGAGAGAACACCTAACTGGCACTGGAATTCAGCAGCCCTTTACAGGAACAGGTAATTGTCAATGACACAAGGATTAAAACACAAGTATCCCATTAATGTTCATATGAGTCTGTGGCTAAATCTATAGACAATAGCATTGAATATTTATTTAATAATTTCTCAGTTTGCATTTTCAAATTATGACCTCATTCTCATTGCTCTTATATAAATCCATCTAATTGTAGAAGTGCTTAAGGCACATGCACTAATCTTTTATGAATATCATTTAAATGTGAATTAATATCCTTGATTTGATATTAATTTGGGTTGTTTTGTGTAGAATAATGAAGAGCTCCAAATTTGGTAACCTTTGGCTTTGCTTTCCTGCTAGATCAGTATTATGTGAATGGCACGGAAGCATAAAATGGCTGATATGTCGATCCCAAACAGTAACTCATGATGGCAGCTGGTTAGGGCCTTCCAACTTTCTGACCTTTGTTTCAATATAACTTAATATCATATACCTATGTACACAAACACACACCCACACAGAATTGTGCTTGTCCTTGCCATCACAGCCACGCATGTGACTGTGAAACTTTTCAGTCATCAGTGGGTGTCGGAGATGGGTGCAAAGGTAGACTGAGAGTGTTGCAGAGACGAGAGGTATCTTGGCAGCTAGTCAGAGTCACCAGATTACTCTTGAATCTGTGTCCTCTGTGTGGCTTTGTCTTCACTATAAAATTTTACCATGTTCAATCAGCCTTGTGAATAAATTAAGTTAGCTGACATGATACTGAACAAAACTCGTCTTAGTCTGCATTAACCAGTATCATGGTCACCATTGTGTCACCTAATTCAATTCTCAATAAATGTTCAAACATGGTACCATTTTGTAGTATAGACCAGCCCTAAGACAATGCCTTTCTTCATGGACCAAACAGCTGTTTTTCGGGTTAATCCGTAACTTTTTCTTTTACCCTGCTTAGCCTCAGGTGGTGGTGGTGGTGTTTTTTTTAGCTTGACATGCAAGAAGTTGATTTCAGATTACCAGAATTCAAATTCTAGCTCAGTTATCCCTACTTACTACAAAGTATTCAGAGTTAATTACTCTTTCCTGTCTTTTCCTTCACTGAGCTTTGCTTCCTACTGACTACTTTAAAAACATGCATAAACGTTTTTCAGATTTTTATTGTAGTCTGGCAGACAGGCAGGCTTCTGGCTTTCCTACTCTCTTGTTAATCAGAAACGTGTGTTTTGTTTTTTGCTCTTCCCTCTCAGCATGGAGTTTCGCAAGAAGATTTCATAAGAGCCAATCAAGAGAAAAATCTGAGAGATGTAATTTACAACATTGCCAGCCAGGCGCACATTCATCTAGAACATGTAAGCGTCCTCTTTTCTTGTTAATAGCATATAATCAATTTTAATGTTAAGAATTGTTGTCAGAATGTGGTCTTAGATGGTGTGTCTAGTTGGGCACCTTATTTATTGTATCAAATATTTTAAAAACACTTTTACCTTCATGTAGAAGTTCAATCTCCCATCCTCTATTCAGTTGTGGGCGCCTTTGCTGAAAGTGATCAGAAAGGTGCAGATCGCAATTACTTTGAGGAATATAGCCTTGTAGTGTTAAACTGATTGGAGAATAAACACACCAAAAAACTTATTCTAAAACAATAAAAATAATTTTTGAATGGAGGTTCTTTTTATTGTAACACATTTGCATGAATTTTTCTATTTCTAGTGACAGCTCTGTGTATGTATAACTACTGATTGAAAGCTTTTGCACATACAGTAGAACCTCAGAGTTATGAACACCTCAGAAATGGAGGTTGTTCATAACTCCTGAACAAAACGTTTTGGATGTTCTTTCAAAAATTTACAACTGAATATTAACTTAATACAGCTTTGAAACTTTACTATGCAGAAGAAAAATGCTGATTTTAACCATCTTAATTTAAATGAAACAAGCACAGAAAGAGTTTCCTTACCTTGTCAAATCTTATCTTTTTTTAAACATTCTGGTTTTTTAGTAGTTTGTGTAACACAGTGCTGTACTGTATTTGCATTTTTTATTTTTATTTTTTTTTTGGTGTCTCCTGCTACCTGGTTATGTACTTCCAGTTCCACATGAGGTGTGTGGTTGACTGGTCAGTTTGTAACTCTGGTGTTCGTAACTTGGAGGTTCTATTGTATGTCATTATGAGATGTAGGATATGCAAGGGCGTGCCTGCACAGATCAGATTCCAGGATCACAGCCACTGACTGTGTGCATGAGTTACTTTGTGTATTTTGGACATAGGAGCAATAATTACCAGGCATTCAGATTTTGCCTTTACATGCCAAACTTTTTTTTCCCTGAAAACTGCCTACTATATGCATAGTGAGCTGCACCAGCAATGTTTCTCTGGTTTTGTTTTTGCCCCAAGCCAGTCTGTTTGGGATCACTGTTTCAAACTTCAGTATTTGTGCAACGGCTTTGTCAAAGGTTGTTATTCACATGGATCAATTAGTGGATCCGAACTTAAGAAGCCGCACTGAGACCTATTCCTTACCTCTCTGCTATAAGTATTGAAAATAAAACATACAGGCTATGCTTATAAAAGCATGTTGGTACATACTACATTAAAAGAACATTAAGGTGCAAAGACAAGCTTTCAAAAGTTAAATGCCAGAATTTAGATTGCTTGTGCAACCTTAGTTTATCCCCCTTGTGCTTATGCATTGTGATATTCTTTAATGACATAATTATACATGATGACATCCTTTTTTTCCCCACAGCATCCCTGCCTCATTTAATTAATGGGTCTTCAATATTTCTTTTTATTCTTCACAGTTGGCGTGTGTCACCAGACCTTATTTAACAAATGCTGCACGAACTACAAAATGATTAACTCCCTAATGGGAATTTTTATGGTGCTCCCACTATAGTATCTGAATGCATCACAACATCTCTGTGAGGAGATGATTATTTTTATTTATTTATTTATTTTGTACAGCTGGGCAACAGAGGCACATAAAAATTAAAGTCAAAATTGTCAAGTGTCCATTAATTTTGGGTGCCCAATTTGAAACACCTAGGTCTTGATTTTTCAGGATGTTTGGTATTTATAGCACTTAGTGTTCAAAGCACATCTCAAACCAACTTCAGTTCCAGTTGTGAGTGCTCAGCACTTCAGCAAATCTGGCCCCAGATTTGGTTTCATTGGGCACCCTGAAAATGAAGAACGTGCAGTTACATGCAGTTAGTGGCCAGCTGTGAAAAATTTGGTTTAAGTGATTTGCCGAGTATTGATTAGGAACTCTGCAGCAGAGGCGGGGATATAATCCAGTTTTTCACAGTGGCATTCTACTTCCTTAAGCATGAGACCATCCTTTCTCTTCCTGCAGTCATCTGCCTCATTCACTACACATCTTCCGACTTCTGCATCATGGGTGCTGAATAAAAAAGGGGTTCTGTAGAAAAAACAGTATGTGATCATGTAATTATACACTAATCATAATCCAAACACACAAGGGGGGCAAATTAAGGTTGTGTGGGCATTTCCTAACTTTTGCGTGCTTGACTTTGCAACCTTAACATTCTTCTTAGGATTTTTTGAATATAATTTCCTAATTTAAAAAAAAAAAATTCACCCCAAGAATTCTACCATGTAGAATCATGTTGACCCCCACTTTGCATCATCAGCATGATGCAGCTCTCATTCTGGGGTCCCTACACTGGAGGGCTGGGGGCAAGCTCGGCACATTGATCCCAGAATGTGGCCTTGCATGTCTGAAAGTTCAGCTCATCATCTCAAGCTGCATTAAGATTCAATCCCACCAGCTAGTGCACCTTTCTCGGGCCCAGAAGCAGTGTTCCACTGTTTGCAGCTGCTCTATGAACACCACCAACAATCTTGAATGGTTCTCACTGTGTCCTACAGCAACCTGCCCACCAGGAAATTGTCATATTCCTCGCAGCTCTTCTTGTGGCTCTGCAGATATTGGAGGATCATGCATCCTGTGCATGCAATGCTTCTGACAGTACCACAAACTCCGTAGTTCTGTCAGAGATGGCAGATGGTGACAAGCACCCTGCAGTTCCAGTCACCCTGGGTTTGTGGCCCACTGTACATTGCACTGTCTTTTGGGAAGTTTTGGCGCTGGATGGGGGCAAGCTGTACCCTGGCATACTTACCCATAGTGCACTGCACTGTGCATCGACACAAACACTCCTTGTGAGTATACACACCGCCAACACAAGGAGACAGGTATTACATTCACAAGCTATATAACAACTGTGGCGGCTTTATGCCAACGTAACCCGTGCTGGCAAGTTTTGTAGTGTAGACATGCCCTAAGTGATGTGATATGCTCATGCAAGGACAGTTACTGCAGATACTCAGGGAATGTTAAATTTATAACCAGTAGAGGGCAAAATAAGCTAGTGAAGAGAGGACTTTTCTTTAAAAGCTTAGTGACTAAAATACAATGAAAACAATCAAAACTGGACTGAATACAAGTGAAAGTCCTGTTGCAAAGGCAGTCCCTTTTTAACAATCTTAAGTCCTGCTGACACTTCTTCCCCTCTCTCCCCCCCTTTTAAAAATATAGTTCTATTCGGAAATGTAACTCTGGAAATATGGCTTCTGTTGGTTCTTTGTATGCTTCTCAATTGCTCAACATCAAATGTTCTCAGTTTACCAAGCAAGAAGATGTTTTTCTGTCAGCCTTGCAAGACATGGGAAAGTCAAGCTGGATCCTTTTCTAGCTCATGCATCGTGACCAGTAAATATAACCCAACAAAAGCGTATTGTAGGTTTAGTTAAGGGTTAAAACCTCAAAAGTTAAAATAAAAAATCCTGCTCTTTGGAATATTTAAGGGCTATTCCTTTCAGTTGAGGGCTGTTAAAGCTGTAGTTCAAGATTCAGCCTATTACTATTCCATTCTGTTTGTCCAGTTCTCCAAAGGGCTGTTTAGAAAAACAAGGAATTCAGTAATTGATATTCTTGGTATTTTTAAAGCTAAAAAAGCAGAAAAAATGCTTTTGGAAAAAACATTGATCCTGTATTTATAAATGAAGAAATATTAAAGGATAATTTTTTCTTTGTCTTTTAGGTTCAATGAACTGTACACCTTGATTTAAAAATAATGCAACTGCAGTTTATGCTCAGTCCTGCAGTCAGATCTGTTGTCTCAGACCCCCACAGCCATGCAGAGCCCCATAGATATCAGTGGGGCTTTGCCCAGACAGAGAGGTCTGAGCTAGCGGTTCCAATGCTGCAATCGGATCCTAAGGCTATGTCTACACTACAGATGCTATAGCTACAGTGCTGCAGCTGTTCTGTGGGGGTGCCACCGTATAGATACTTGATACAGTGAGGGAAGTGGTTTTTCCATTGCTGTAGTTACAGCTGGTAGTTAGGTTGATGGAAGAATTTTTCCGATGACCTAGTGGTGTCTACACTGAGGGGTAGATTGGCTCTTGTCTCTCTCAGGGGTGTGAATTTTTTGTACCGCTGAGTGACATAGCTAGGTCAACGTACGTTTTTGGCGTAGACCTGCCCTAAGTTATTAATTCTTATGATGTGGAGACCAGAAGTCAGCCCCCGTCGTACATTGCTAACAGGAATAAAAGTAGTAAAACCATATTTCTTATATTAAACAAGCAGAACACATGGGGAGCAGATCTGTGGAATAAAAATATACCAGTTTACGTAGTGAATTTTCTGATTATACCTACAGTTTAAGGCTGCGAAAAGGCACAGGAATGGTAACGGGCATCTCACAATATTAGACACTTGGTTTTGTAATTACTTCTATGTACGCTGAAGGATGGTGCTTGATTTTTTATTTAATGAAAGTTGTACCTTCATTGCAGTATATTCAAACCTGAAAGATTCAAGCTCATGATAAATTTTGCCAGTTTGAGCCATTAAAACTCCGTATTTGAAGTTCACTTTGATCTGGTAACTTCCCTACGCAATATTTTTTTTCCTTCTCTTTTCAGGCTAGGTCCTTCAGTAAAAATGTTCCTGCCAAAGCATTTCCTGCCTTTCTCTATACAGTAAGTATGATAACAGTGCACTCTTTAAGTGGTGGAGTAATTTGTGTTTCGTTTGTTTATGAACGGTAATGCACCAAGTTAATTGTTAATTAGTAGTATTTTTTTATTATTCAATGGGCGTTCTGGGTGCTTAATATATCTGAAATTATGCCACCAATTTAGGTGCCTAAATATAGGTTCAGGTGTCTAACTGCCCAATAGTTTTTGTTTTTCTATTTTTTAAGGGCAAAATTTCTCAAAATGGTTTCCATGTATTCATAGACTGTCAAAAATGGTTTAGATATTTATAAAATAATATTGCATATGCTGCTGTTTGTGTCCATTATACATACTAACCCTTTTTTTCTCTTCTAGGTTACTTTAGAAGATTATTTATATAAAATACAGAAAGTAGATTTCGACATATTCCATCCAAGCTTACATCAGAAGAGCACGTTACTACCGTTGTATTTATATATTAGATCCTGGAAAAAAATATATTAAAAATAGACTTAACATGTCCGACTGAGTTCTGCTTTTTTTTTTAAACTGATAATTTTATAGATATGTTTTTGTTAAATAAGTAACTTTGTTATACATTCTGTGAACTTTTCTTAATTGGAAGTAATACATGAGCATGACCTGTAGCTATTAGCTTCCTGATCATAGGAAAAGCTTATTCTTGTCAGTAAATTAGGCAGATGTGATTTGGCAGACACACAAAGAGTGGATATGAACTGTTCTAAGGTTACTCTTGTAGTCATTTTTTTGTAATAACACTTGAAGCCAAATTTTACTTGGGCTAATCCCCCATTAATATTATTTACTATTTATTCTTGGCAGCATACACTATCTGCTAAATGCTTTCCTAACATAAAAGAAGACCTAATTCCTGCTCAAAAGAGCTTACAATTGATACTCTGGTATTCAGCTAAGCAACATTATTTAGTATTTTACAAATTACACATTACACAAAGCAACATTGCTTGTGTATGCCATTGGTTTGATGGCACCACCACTGAAATCCTTCTCGGTGCCTTCATCTTGTCCCCAAGTACTTGCTCTTTAGTCCCTTCATGGGCAGATACCTGCTTCTGAGATATACTGGATGTTCACACTTTCAACTCTCGATGGGAATTCAATGGGAATTGTTAGGTGCTCACCATCTCTAAAGATAACATCCTAAATGCTCAATACTTCTGATATTTGTTTTCTTTCATAAAATCATGCTTCCTAATGTCCATTTTTGTTTGTTGTGCACTTCCTGAGAGATATGAACAACCAGCTGATTTGGTGTTGGTACTTCAGTAGACTAATTGGGGGACATTTTCAAAGGCACAAATAGTGATAACTGCCATTAGTGCCTTTGAAAAACTCTTCCATTGCCTGTTGACTAGTTAGCATAAAGTGACTGATCTGTTTGCTCAAATTCTGTTTTGATTGTGGAAGTGAAGGGTATGAAAGCAATAGGTTGCATGTCTTTCTTTCAATGGCTGCAAAAATTAATCTGCTGGTTATATAGTTTATTCTTAGAGGGCACAGTCATAGAATCATAGGACTGGAAGGGACCTCAACAGGCCATCTAGTCCAGTCTCCTGCACCCAAGGCAGGAAAACATAATAATTAGACCATTTCTGACAGATATGTGTCTAACCTGTTCTTAGAAACCTCCAATGATGGAGTTTCCACAACCTCCCTAGGCCATTTGTTTAACCACCCTGACAGGAAGTTTTTCCTAATGTCCAACCTAGACCACCTTGGCTACAATCTAAGCCCATTGCTTCTTGTCCTATCCTCAGTGGTTAAGGAGAACAATTTTTCACCCTGTTCCTTGCAACAACCTTTTATGTACTTGAAAACTGTTACATCCCTCCTCAGTCTTCTCTTCTCCAGACTAAACAAACCCATTTTTGTTCAATCTTTCCTCATAGGTCATGTTTTCTAGATCTGTAATCATTTTTGTTGCTCTCCTCTGAACTTTCTCCAATTTGTCCACATCTTTCCTGAAATGTGGCACCCAGAACTAGACCCAATACTTCAGTTGAGGCCCTATCAGCATGGATTAGATAGAAAAATTCTCATGTCTTGATTACAACACTCTTGCTAATATATCCCAGAACGATGTTTGTTTGGGTTTTTTTGGCGCAACAGTGTTACACTGACTCATATTTAGCTTGTGATCCCTTTCTGCAGTACTCCTTCCGAGTCAGTCATTTCCCATTTTGTATGTGTGCAGCTGCTTGTTCCTTCCTTAGTGGAGTATTTTGCATTTGTCCTTATTGAATATCATCCAGTTTACTTCAGACCATTTCTCCAGTTTGTCCAGATAGTTTTGAATTTTAATCCTATCCTCCAAAGCACTTGCAACCCCTCCCAGGTTGGTATCCCACAAAGCTCCAGGTTGGGACCCAAGGTTCAACAATTCCTAACCTGGGGTTACAAATGAGTGTAGACACTCAAGCCCTAGGTCATGGTCTTCTAACTTGAATTCTGCTAACTCAAGGGTTTATATTGCAGTGTAAACATACCCTGGGTAACCAGCAGTTGAATTTAACACAAAGTATTGCAGGGACTGACGCTATCACTTCCATCCAAGAATTTTAACAGTTGCTAATAAATTCTCACAACAGTTGTAGGAGATAGTTGTTCATCTTCATTGTACAGATGAGACAACCAAACCATGAAGAGCAGAGTGATTTGCCTAAGGTTACATCAGAAGTCTGTACTGTAACAAAGACAAGAGGTTCTGACCTATACTCCTATATTTTAACCACAATACTATCCTTTTATTTAGTGGCCTCTAGAGTCAATTACTTCAGCAAGGACTGCCTTCTAGAGGGAATTATGAGATCAATTCTGCTCCTACTCTTATTTTAGGAGGGGGGGAGTAATTTTATCCACTAGTTTTGCAAAACAACTGCAGTTTACAGTAGTAATACCACTGTGCTGGGGACTGTTCAGAGCTAGATTGTGCCTTTTGCAGTAAGCCTTGCATAGAAGGTGGCATGCAGCTGTGCTACCCCAGGAACCCTGGGAGCCATTGTAACTCAGTCACAGCTCCCCACATGCTCCCCTCTTGCTTCAGGTAGGGAGTAATTTCCAGCAGCTCTTCAAAGGGTACAATTAACCACCTCCTCATATTCCTAGCTGGCTCTGCTTTGCTGGCTGAGAGCATGGGTGGGGCAGAGCCAAGGACAGAAAAAGGTGCAAGAAGCCCTGCAGTAGGTAACTTTGGTTTAATCTGCCAATAGGGAAAATTTCTTCCTAATGTTCATTGCTGTCAGGTTGTCTTGTTATATTCCTTCAAAACCATTTTAAACTTGAACTATTGTAACTCTGGATTCAGAGTCCATATAAGTGTTCAATCTGTTTTTACAGTGTCCCTACCATGAAGGGCTCTATTTTGCACTATTGCATATTTTCCAAGGATTTACCTCCCTTTTCTCACCTGATATGTTTCCATCTTTATTTCAGGGGCTGTGAGCCTTTACTCTAAACTACTGATTTATTTTTAGAAGATAAGTTCTGTGGCCCTTAAGTATCCTCAGATCCCATTGAAGTTAATAGTGTAGGACCCTAAGCAATTATGACTAATTTCCAAAGTTACATTAAATAGAATAATAAAAAGAGGAGATTAATCTTCATGCTTTAGGGTGTAAAATGGGTTGAACCTACTTGCCTGGGGCAAGGAAGAAACTTCCCTTAAGGACAGATTGTTAATGCTTGTGCCTTGATCTCTCACATCCTCCTCTAAAACATATTGTACTTACTACTATTAGGGACAGGATGCTAAACTAAATAGACAGTGGGTCTGCTCTTATATTGCAGTTGTTATATTCCATATTCTCTGGGCCATTCTGTATTGGCATAAAATCTGCAATGCAAGAGGGAGCTGAATTTCTGCTCCAGGGGTCAGATACTGAAAGCCTGTAAGTGGGAGTCTTGAACCCCTTTCTGCCCACCCTATCAGGTGACTTCTGCCATAGCAGTCTGTGTAGGAGTGAAAGGTGGAGCATTGTGAGCAGGCCAGAGGAAGTGGAGGGAGCATAGCCAGCAGATTCATGCAACTAGGGATTCACTAGCCTCCAGATTCCACATCGGAAGAGTAGTGAGATATATCTCTTGTTGTATATGCCTGCTGTAGAGTTCAGGAAGCATCTACGACTCACTTACTGCAGGCTGCGGCTGAGGATTACTCAGTCCTGTAGGCATTACTCTGAGCACATGGCCCATTTACACCTGCCGTGACCTGTGGGCCAGATCAAAAAAGATGGGTCTGTATAAAAAAAACAACCCATAACCTTCTACAAATTATCTAATTCTCAACAACTTATGCACATGGCTGGAATTTGCCTAGAAATAGAAATCCTTTTCTTGACACGGTGCACAATCCACAGTGCATTTTAAACTGTATGTAGGCAGAATGTGACAAGCGAGGACATTTTTCTTTTATTTAGCTCTAATTGATTTGTCCTTTTTTAAAATTAGTTCATTCGTAGCTCGTCAGCCTAAACCCAAATATCATAATTTTTCCTTAAGTACCCAATGAATCAGTCTGCCCCCTTAATCTTCAGATTCACTGGCAACCTGCTATGATGAGTCTCAGGGTCTCTTTTACTAAACATTCCAACCCAGAATGTTTTGCTAGAATCAAAACCAGATAGAAATAAACACTGGACTTTCTTTAATAAGCAAATCTATTATACAGACATTCAAATGCTGTTTTCAACCTGATCTACATCCGTGCTGTCGATAAATGGCAGTGTTCAATACTGAGGATTTTTTAAAGTCAGTTAAGGATATGTCTATACTGCAGCTAGGAAGTGTGATTCCTAACACAAGTAGACAGAGTTGGTGCTAGCTCAGCTCCAGCCTGTGTGCTAAAAATAGCTGTGTGGACATTGTGGCACTGGTGGCAGCTTAGGACACTCTCAAGTCCAAGTCCACCTGATCCCCTGGATCTGAGCTCAAGTGTCTGGCTGAGCTACTGCCAGTGCCACAATATCCCACTGCTAATTTTAACCCATAAGCTTGAGCTGAGCTACCTGCACTGGGAATCACACCTCCCAGCTGCACAGTAGACATACCCTAAAAGGCTCAGATTGATACCAATTTCTATGGTATTTATAAGGTGTCTTTTACAGTGGTATCTAAACACAAATACTAATCAAAAACTGGATTTGTACATGTAAACTGGCACTTAGCCCTGATCTACACAGGGGAGGACGGGGATCAATCTAAGTTACACTACTTCAGCTACGTGAATAATGTAGCTGAAGTTGACGTACTTAGATCGACTTACCGTGGTGTCTTCACCGCAGTGAGTCGACTGCTGCCGCTCCCCCATTGACTCCACCTGTGCCTCTCGTGGCGGTGGAGTACAGGAGTTGATGGGCGAGCGCTTGGGGATCGATTTATTGTGTCTAGACTAGACACGATAAATCAACCCTGCTGGATTGATCGCTGCCCACCAATCCGGCGGGTAGTGTAGACATACCCTTAGGTACTAACCTGATTTTCAC